TCAGTCTGTTCACCAGGTCAGTTGTTTTTGCTCTGAGTTAACCTCGTATTTTCTTCTATTTTTACAGCCTTTTGACTTTGTTGTAATATTTTTGATTGTCTTGTGGAGTCATTGGCCTCTATTTTGTCCTTTCTGATTTTTAGGGATTTTGATGCTTTGTTATGGTTTTCTGCCTTTTATTGAAAAGCTTTTAATTTCCTTTGCAGTTCTTTTTTTCATAACTCATTTCCACTTTTTTACTCTGGCACTCTTATTTATAAAAACATTAAAAAACTTTTACAGCTTTTGTTTCATTTGTTCCAAGAATACTAATTGAGTTTATACCCAAGCTGTGTTTTCCTCTAAGGCTTTGCTTGTAGATGTTTCAGAATCATCCTCTTTTGAGCTTTTATCTTTAGCTTCCCTACCACCATAGATAGCGTCTCTTAATGGAGGGGATGTGGGGGGGTGCACTCGCGTGAGCTCACATCTGGGCGTTTTTGTTTGCTCAGTCAGACTTAGTGGGCCAGGCTCTGTAGACTACTGGGGGGAAGGTCTGGGCTGGGCTTCCTGTAGCTTCCTTGGGGTATTGAGTTTTCCTCGGAGTCCCAAAGGCCACTGGTATGGGACTCTCCTTACTGGTAGAGGCCCAGAAGTTGTCTGAAGTGACTGCAGAGCCCCAAAGAAACTCTTGAGCTTGCTGAAGCTAAAGAGACTTGAAGCAGGTCCAAAGGGCTAGGGCCTGGAACTGAGGCCCCCTATTGCTCCTGGGAGTCTCAGCTCCACTCAGCTGCTGCTTATTTCTGAACTTGCTCCATGCCTGCTACACAGTCCAGAGCCTGTGACCACTCATCATCTCTGGGCACAGGTCCTTGTTCCAAGCTTGGGTCTGTGACCCTGAGTGAAAGACCTGCCTGTTGCCACCCATTCCTGAATCCTGCAAAGCCCGGGACCATTCCTCTTAGCCACACCCTCTATTCCTAAATGTTCTGCCCTCGGCAGGCTGCTGGTGAGACCTGGTCCCCAGTTCCACAGAGCTCGCTGTCTGTGCCCTATGCCTATCTGGGCTGGAAAAACTTCTCTGATGTTTTTCTTGGGTTTCCTGATCGGGATTCAGTCTGGTGGGTTTGCTAGGTTTGTTTGGAGGAGTGGGAAATGGTGAGGGAGCTCTCTGTACTTCTCTCTGTTTCCCACACCTGAGCTCTGTTCTCAGGTGACTTTTAAAGGAAGGAATCCTAGCTATCAACAATCACGTGAACAAACGATCTAAATCACTAATAATTAGAGAAATACAAATGGAAGCTACCTTGATGCTCCTTCTGTCTACCACCTGTCAGGGCGGCAAAGCTGACAAAAGAGGAAGATGACAAGCGTTAGGGAGAACATTGGAGGAAAATGGAGCACTAGTTAGTACCAGGGAAAGGTGAGCAGGGTGCTGAAACGCTTTGAAGTCATACCCCGTAAGTATTTGGTACGAGGAGCTAGGTACGTTTATCCTGGAGAAGAGTACTTTTGAGAGGGGGCATGATAGTTGTCTTCAAGGATTTTGAAGGATTATCAAGTAGGAGGAGGAGGCGGCGGTGGCGGCTTGTTCCATTTGGTCCCAGAGAACCAAACTGAGGGCTGTGGGTGGATGTTTCAGAGGGCAGATTTCAGATCCCTGGAAGGAAAATTTTTCTAACCATTGGAGCTTTTCAAAAGTACAATGGATTGCCTTGGGAAGTAGTAAGCTCCCCCCAGAGGCTTTTAAGTGAAGGTTGGGGATGTTGTAAAGGGGAGCCTTATTAAAGAATGGCTCTCTGGCCTCTGTCACTTGCCTTCCTCTTGGTTTTGCCAGCCATCACCCCTGCACTTAATTCACTTTCCTCCCTTTGTTCTTTGCTCTTGGGCTCCTTGTCCTATCACTGATTATCCCTCCTAAACCCCAGTCCTGGATTGTTCTCACCTATGCTAGACACAGGGAGTATGCCACATAACAAAGCTAACTTATTAGTGTACCCCAGACCTCCTTTCTCCAGACTGACATTTAGTCTCCCAGTCTTTACAACAGATATTGCAAATCTTGTTTCCCAAGCCGCTTACACCCCTCATCGTGAAGTATGAAGACTTAGCTTCATACTTCATTAAAAAAAAAAAAACACACCAAAAACCCTTGAGGCTGTCCGTTGTGAGTTCCCTCTTCTCCCCCAATGAAATCACCTCAACATCTTTTATCAGTCTCTCCTCGTTTGCTCTAGTCTTAGAGGAAACAGGTGATTCTTCTCTTGCAAATGCCAAGTTCTCTATTTGTGTCTTTGATCCCTTCTCATCATATCTAGGAACCTGCCCTTTCCATCAGTAGGAAGGAGCTGGCCCCTTCCTACTGCTTATAAATATCCCAGATCTCCCCCATCTTTGAAGAACTTTCACTTGACTATACCCAAGCTAACAGCTTATCTCTTCCCTTTCATAGCCAAACTCCCAGGAGAAGCCCTCTTCGCTCATTGGCTCCATTTTCTCCCCTCCTCTTTTCCCTGGCTGCCTCTTTCACAGCTTCTTCACAAACCACCTTACCCCAGAAACCATGCCCTGGAGGGATTCTTGTAGCTTTACTAACCAAAATGCTTCTCCTTGGCTACCACTTGCCTTTGTGTGATATCTTGTGTTAGACTGTAAGCTCCTTGAGAACAAGGACTGTCTCAGTTGTTGTGTTTGTCCAGTGTTTAGCTCGGGGTTTGGTTTATGGTAAATGCGTTTTCTTTCATGAATTCCCTTTTGATCCCCTTTGGGCTGGCTTCCAGGGCTCTGTCCTAGGGTACCTTCTGCTTCTCTCTCCATCATCTCATCATCTCCCCTCAGTTTCACTGTTGGCTCAGTGCAGACTCCCAGATCTGGGCGTCCCTTCTCAGTTGCCTAGTGGGCATCTTATTTGGGATGTCCCATAGTCACCTCGAATCCAGCACATCCAGAACAGTGCTTCAGGAGGCTTTCCTGATGGGCTTCTCCCCTCCGCTCTGGTTGCTGGTGTCCTCTCCTTCACAGGTTCTTTTTGTATCTGCTTTCATGTATGCCTATTGGCTTCTCTTCAGTGGAATGCAAGGTCTAAAGGCAGAGCCTGCTTAGTACTTAATAAATGCTTGATGAAAAAAATGAGCATCATACATAAAGCTGTATTGGGAAATAATGATGCAGATCCCCTCTGGTGGCACAACGTATTTGGTGCTTTTTGTCCCTGGGCGACAAGGAAGATTTTAACTTCTCTGCAGTGGCAGGGAGAATCTTGTTTACACCGGAGATTTTTGTTTTGGGTATTTTGTTTCTAGACTTGGGACTTCATCAGCTCCTGGGGAGCAAGTCCCTCTTCCAGGGCAGGTCAGTACCTTCTCTCCAACTTGGAGAGAGTCTTAGAGAAGGGAAGTGACTTGCTCAGGATCATACAGCCACTCTGTGAATGCTGGAGGCTAGCTCTAGGCCCACTGTACATATTGTCTTTCCACTGTAAGTGAATGATTTTAAAGTGAGATATGAATAACATTTTTGAAAATTTAATCATTCTGAATATGATTGGGGAGTTATTTAGAGGAAAGGAGACAAAAGAGAAGTCTTCTTTAATAATGTGAATCGTAATGGCATAATTTGTCTGCTTTGTAAATTTAGATCTTAAATTAGGGTGCACCTGTGCCTTGGCTTCTGGCCAAGTTCCTTCTTCCATTTCACATAGTACTTATGACATATCATATATTTTTTTAATTAGCAAAAATCCACCTTCTTTCCCTCCCCTGAAATGGTTCCACTCCCCCCATAGAGAACAGAAGAAAAACAAAACTGATGTTACAGACACATAGTCAAACACAGCAAGCTTCCTCCTTAGCCACATCTGCAAAATGTGCCTCGTTTGGCACTCACTATTTGACCTTCACCTGTCTCTCAGGAGGTAGGTGGCATGTTTCGTAGTGAGTCCTCTGGAGTAGTGACTGCTAGTTACACTGATCAGGGGTCCCAGTCTTTAAAAGTTGTTTGTCCTTAAAAATATCACTGACATGTAAATTGTTCTCCTGGCTCTGTTCCCTGCACTTTGCATCATTATTTCTTATACTTATGAAATAGATGACGTACATAGCACGTTAAGGTTTGCAAAATACTTTTCATGTGTTTCTATTTGATCTCCGTAACTACCCTATGAAGTAAATGCTATGAGGATTATTAATTCCATTTTCAGAGGAGAAAACCTGAGGTTCGTAGAAGTTAAAAGATTGAAAACATGTTCATCGAGCTGTTGTGTCAGGCAGGATTTGAACCCAGGTCGTCTTGACTCCAAGGCTAGCATTGTGTCACATTACTCATGAAGGAGGGCAGTCAGGAACCATAGAGAGGACATTCTGTAATCGTGATGGGTGGGAAGACTTGAGAGAAATAAATTACCTTTTTGCCACCTTGACACTTTTAGGGAGGACTTTTAAGGACAGAATGGGTTAAGATCACTTTTTGGCAGAGAGACAGGGTGGAAAGAACACTGCAGTGGATTGAGCGCTAGGACTGGAAGCAGGAAGGCCTGAGTTCAAATCCAGCCTTAGACACTTCCTAGCAGTGTGACCCTGGGCAAGTCACTTACTCTCTATTTACCTCAGTTTCCTCAGTGGTAAAATGGGTATAATAATAATAATAATACCTTCCAGGGTTGTTGTCATGATCAAATGAGATAATATTTGTAAAGGATTTAGCACAGTACCTTGCCCATTGTGAAGTGCTATCTAAAAATGCTAGCTATTTTATTATTGTTGCTGTTTTTATTACCATTACTGTTATTATTTGGAATCAGATGACATGGATTTGAATCCCAGTTCTGCTGCTACCTTCTGTCATCCTAGGCAAGTCACTTGTACTCTTTGGGACTTAGTTTCCTCATCTCTAAAATGGGGGAATTGGGCCGGATGCCTCTTAGGGACGTTGCAGCTCTTAACCTTAGTATTGTGTCTGGCATAGTATGAGTTTTAAGTACCTGTATTGTCCAAATTAATGTTGGCTGTCTGTGTTTTTTACAGTTGAGCTACGATAATGTCGTTCATCTTTGAGTGGATCTATAATGGCTTCAGCAGTGTCCTGCAGTTTTTAGGTAAAGAAGTTTTCTTTTGGGAATATATCTTAGATTTGTATGCATTTCCTCACAGAAGATAAAAGTGAGAAATGTGTTGCAGATTCAGTAAGGTTGTAGTTTAAATTTTTGTTTCTTTCGTAGGACTCTACAAGAAATCTGGAAAACTTGTGTTCTTGGGTTTGGACAATGCCGGCAAAACGACCCTTTTGCACATGCTCAAAGATGACAGATTGGGCCAGCATGTTCCAACATTACATCCAAGTAGGTCTAAAGAGGCCCAGCGGCAGCTTCTGCTTCTGGAGAGTTGTGTCTGAGTTAGCGGGTGCATTCTAAATTGGAGCCTCGCTTGCATTAACACAAATGTAAAAGAAAAAAAATCCCGTGGAGACCATTCTGTAGGAAACATTGCAGTTGTAAACACATAAATAACATGCTGTTGAATTTCTTTATGGTGGTGTTCTAACTCCTAGTCCAGTCCTGAAATTCGACTGTGATTCACCATCTCTTCACTTCTGAGAAGTAGCAGAAAAAGAGAAATTCCTCTCCTGACCAGTTAGGATAATTTGGGGGCTTCTTCTCTTTGCTGAATGTACATTCTCTGATATGTTAAACACACGGCCATGTCACTGATGTATTACTGGTCGTTAGGTTTTAGCTCAGTCGAAAGAGATGTTTTCTCCTTCCCATCTTTTTACAGCGTCTGAAGAGCTGACAATTGCAGGAATGACGTTTACAACCTTTGATCTTGGTGGACACGAGCAAGGTAAGGGATAGCTTGCGCTGCTTCTAGTGATCCGTTGTGCTTAACACTAGATGAGACTTTATTTATAATACAGATTCAGAGCTGGGAGGGACTTTGGAGGCCATTCAATTCAAACCCTTCATTTTACAGATGAGTAAATTGAGACCCATGGACAGAGATGAAGTGAGCTTGGATCTGAATCTTGGTCCTCAGGCTCTGAATCCAGTATTTTGGCCACTACGTTAATTTGCATTTGCATGAGGATCTTTAGTTCTCGTTTTAAGCTTGATACACATACAGCTTTCTTATTTCAAAGTCGCTTAAATGTATAGCTTTAGAGAAATAATCAAAGGAGACCGCTGGTGTTTGTGTACTTAGTTGGCTCTCTTCTATTTGATGCCTCTCTTTTAAGGCTGAAGGAGTCAAATTAATGGAAATTAGGATGGGGATAAAAGGGGGTAGAAATTTGCTATGAAATGTGGTTAATAAGCCTCCTGTTGGAGCATGGTAATTATGTAGGAAGTGCTTTTATTGACATCTAATTGAATTTTTATTTTATTTATTTAAGATTGGTACCCTGTCTCTTTCAAAAGGACTTGAGGTGACTTGCAGATTAAAACAGTGCAAGATAAGACATTTCAGGATAAAACAGAACAGAGACCATCTGAAACGAGCAGAAGGAATAGATATTTTCAGGCATCTCAGTTGAGCAGACTAGAGCATTCAGGCAGTGACTTTTGCATTAAGCTTTGTGGCAGCCAGGGCAAAAAGGGAAACATTTGGTACGTAGTTTTTTTTTTTTCCAACAAGGGTGTACAAATTCATATGCAGAGAATTTTTTTCCCGTGGAACTAAAACCCAAGCAGGAATATATCATGTGGGTTTGTAATTGAATAATGTAATCAATCATTAGTATCTTGATTGAATGAAAAGACGTTGTCAGGGAGCCACTGTGGGCCAAGCACTGGGCATGCAGACAGAGACAGTCTTTGCTCTCTAGGAGCTCACATTCAGTTTGGGCAGACTACAAAGAAGGGAAAGTTCAACTGCAGCGTGGGAGGATAGGCGCCGGATATAGGGCGGGAATGGTTATGGAGAGGATGGCAGCGTGGCAGATGATATGGCCTGGGGATTCTTCAGGTACAGTGGCAGTGGTGGGTTGTGGGGGGGGTGGGGAAGGAGGTGGCTGGGGTGTTGGTGGGGAGGGCTCAACCCTATCATCTGCTGCCTGCCTGATATTAAGAAGTTAGAGAAAAACTGCTAAGCTGCATGGTTTTCTTAACCTTCTACAAAGACATCAGGCATAGCATTGAATCATAATTCAGTGAATGATATCTGTAGAGTGAAGTACTTTGCTTCCTGAGCTGCCTTAATAGTGGGATAGAATTTGGCAAATCTGGAGGGGATGTAACTTGCAACGTTAACAGAGAATCCTTTTTGTTAAATCATTAGTTCATTGTTTCCAGGTTTTGTTCTGAGGGAGATAAATGAACATTTCTTCTGTCTTTCTAGCCCGGCGGGTTTGGAAAAACTATTTACCAGCAATTAATGGGATTGTCTTCCTGGTGGACTGTGCAGATCATCCTCGCCTCTTGGAATCCAAAGTTGAACTCAACGTATGTTTGTAATCTTTTTTCAAAAGTCTCTGTCCTCAGTCTCTTCTCTACTTCCTATTGTTTTGATTTGAGATATGTTATGGTGTTGAATTTTTAACTCTAAGTACTTTGGCAACATTTGTAGTATTCCCTGTCTTTCTCCCTTCTCATACACACCAGAGTATTGAGTTATAGGTTCTATGCCCATTTCATTATTTCAGGGATCTGTTATTTCACTTAGGTGGTCACTCACCTCTACGATTGCAGATTATACTGTTTATACACCTTTGGTGACAGGTCTTTGTGAATTGCTGTGACTAAAGAAAACAGTTATCACCTTGAAGTCACCTATCTGGTGGTAAGCTTCTCCAAACCTACCTAAGTGTCTTTAGGGATGAGATAGGGCAAATCTGGGTTACCAGGCCTGTTCTTGAAGCCTTTCCCTTTAGTAAAGTGAAAAATAATATGCTTCAGTCTTCTTTCAGACTCTTATCAGTTCTTTCTCTGGAGATGGATATTTTTCATTATGAGTCCTTTGGAATTGTCTTGGATCATTCTGTTGCTGAGAATAGCTAAGTCATTCACAATTGTTCATTGTGTAAAATTGCTGTTATTATGTGTAGTGTTTTCCTGGTTCTGTGCGCGTCACTCTGCATCCGAGTTTTTCTGAGAGCATCTTATCATTTCAAAACAGTATTTCATTACAATCCCATACTGCAGTTTGTTCAGTCATTCTCCAGTTGATGGGCATCCCTTCAATTTCCAGTTCTTTTTGCCTCCCCCTCCCCCCAAAAAAGAGCTACTATAAATATTTTTGTACAAATAGATCGTCCCCCTCCCCCCCCTTTTAAATCTCTTTGGGATACAGATCTAGTAGTGGTATTATAACCCTTTGGGCATAGTTCCAAATTGCTCTGCCGAAAGATTGGATCAGTTCACAACTCCACCAATAGTGCATTATTTAACAGTCCCTATTTTCCCAATCTCCTCTAGCATTTGTCATTTTCCTTTACGTCATATTAGCCAATCTCCTAGGTGTGAAGTTGTTTTAATTTGCATTTTTCCAATCCATAGTGATTTAGAGCATTTTTTCATATGACTATAGATAGCTTTGATTTCTTCCTCTGAAAACTGCCTGTTCATATCCTTCGACCATTATCAGTATTCTTATAAATTTTATTCATTCTTTATTTGAGATTCGAGGTCTTTATGAGAGAAACTTGGTGTAAAAGTTGTTTCACAACTTTCTATTTTCCTTCTAATCTTGGTTGCATTGATTTTGTTTGTGCAAAACCTTTTAAATTTGATATAATTAAAATTATCGTTTTACATCTCATAATGCTCTCCCTTGTTCCCTCTTAAGTTCTTTCCTTCTCCATGGATCTGACAGGTAAATTACAGAATGAGATTTCTGGGAGAGATATTAAGGACCCTTATTCAGGAGTCAAAAATTCTGGTTTTTTTTCTGGCCCTAATGATGCTTTTCCTTGGCCTCTGTCCCTAACTTGGTTTCTGCACTCCCTGCTCTATTGAAACACAGTAGGCTGAATGACTGGCTTTTTGCAGGCCAGTGACCTCTGGGTTCTCTCCGGCTTTTGATGATTTGTCCTTCCAGATAGTCTTTCATCTCTTGGCTTCCTGTTCTTGTCCTGTAACTATGGGTGTTTCTCCAAAGGTCAGCTCTTGAGTCATTGCTTTTAGTCCTTTAATTAACCTTTTTCCTGGTGGCTGGTGATGTCCTAAGTTCAGCTTATCTCTAGACCCAAGCATCAGTCTCAACTTCAGTGCTTCAGATTCAGAATGTCCAAAATGGAACCTTCATAATCCCAACTGCTCCATCTCAGTGAACTAGGCTTGAAATCTTTCCTTGCCTTTGCCTCCCAAATCCAATAGTTCCCAAATTCTGTTTTCAGAATCCTTCACAAGAAGTCCTTCAAAGTGCTGTTATTGCTTCCGTCATCTTCTTCTACCTGGACTGCTACTCCAGTCTCTGTAACTAATATCCCTTTTGCCATCTTTCCTTCCTTCTTATCTCTCCGGCTTGTTGCCTCTAGATGAAGTTACTTTAAGTGAAGTACCTTTAAGTTACACTCAGCTTTTGGCATCCAAGACTTTGAATGATTTATGGCCACTGTCCTTGGCACACTTTGCTTGTACCTGATGCATCATGTTTTTGTCAACATTTGTTTGAAGCCTCCTCCTTCTTTGTGCTTATCTTCCTCCTCCTCATCCCTTGGGATCCAGCTCAACTCACACTTGCTTCTGGAGCCTTTGGTCAAGCCCTCTGGGTCACGCTGAACCTTCACTGCGCACCTCTGTCTTTCACACACAGATCTTGTGTTTATTACCTGCTTCATAATACCCTTGAAGGCAGGGCCTCCACCACCTCAAGTGCTTTTCATATTTACTTCACTTTCTAGTGCTGGACTGTAATTGGTGCCCAGTTCATGCCCATTGAGTAAGATTCTTGACATGCTGCTTTACAAAGCTGCTCTAGTTTCCATTCAGGTGGATCTCTGACAAGCCTGCTACGGAGTATCTTTGAAGATCGCCCACAACCCCGTGGACGCGCTGCTTGGCTAGACTGATGAGTAACAGTGCCCGGAGCAACTGAGCTGCCATCTGTGCCTAGCCCAAGGGGCTCATCTGAATCTCTGCTACAAAGGGTGTTTCAGTTGTGTAGTACTAGAGAGCTGAGTTTATGGTCTGCTCAGCTTCTACTAAATTGTTCAGTTATGAGAATTATCAGGTGCACTGCTCAAGGACCATCAAACATCAGATGTTTTCTTATCATCCTTTGGTATTTTGAAAAACTAACTTTTGTGTCTTGTCTTTAGGCACTAATGACAGATGAAACAATATCCAATGTGCCAATCCTTATTTTGGGCAATAAAATTGACAGATCAGATGCAATCAGTGAGGAGAGACTCCGTGAGATATTTGGGCTTTATGGACAGACCACAGGAAAGGTAAGCAAGAAACATATTAGGGGGAGAAATATGAAGCCTTTAGCTAAAACTTTCCTGTTGGAGAACCTGGATTTTGACTGTCTTTTGAAAAGTTTAAGAAGACCAAAACTTTGTCTTACTACGAATGTTTTATAATTCTGGTAGCAGGACTAAGTTCAGATCTTAGCCCTGTGCCCCTGAACAATACCTACACATACCCTTCCTTTTTGATGCAGGTGATATTTATCAAGATGAGAATTTAGAGGCGGTTAGTAGTAAAGGCAAAGTTATCACCTTAGTAATCTAGGCTTTGTTGGATTCCATTCCATATTTGACAACTCTTTCTTGGAAGAACTTTTTTCTTCTTAGTTAGACATTAATTTTAGGGAATTTGTTTCCAAAGAAGAGTAATTGTGATTTGATATTCCATTCCAAGGCATAGATCTCAAATCATGTTGTCCATTGTTGTAATTCCCTGGTGAGATAGATAGTATTATTATCCCCATTTTTCAGATAAGGAAACTCTCTCTCTGAGGTTAAGTCTACAAAGCAAAGGATTAGAACATGAGTCTCCTGGAGGAGTAGACCACACTGGCGCCAGTTGGAAAGATGAATCTGTTGTATAAAACAGGTATGCGAGAGAGAGAGAGACAGAGAGACAGAGAGGGAGACAAAAAAGGAGAGAGAGAGAGAGAGAGAGAGATGAGGGAGGGAGGGGGATAGAGAGAGAGAGAGAGAGATTTAGAATAGTTCGAGCAGGATCTCCCAACCTTGTCAGCCAGTAGTGTGTTTTGGTTTGGACACTTGTTTAAATCTTTCCCTTCTTCCTCACCCTGTGGCTTATGAGTATGTGTTTTACACCCCTCCCCCCTCTCGCCCTCACCTCTCCCCGTTTTCTTGTCTCTTTCTCTCCCCCATTATCACTGTTCCTTTATCTCTGCAAATGGACATTTGGACACCATCCATCCCTCCCTCTGTGTGAGTGTGTTCTCTACACTATGAGGTTTTCCCCTGAACTTAGCTGCACACGTAGTGAACGGTTAACAGTCTCATCTCTGAGAAAAGTTCCTTGATTTGGTGACACACAGGCAACCTCTGTCGCTTTCTTCACTCATGGTTGCTCATAGTCTGCCCCCCCCCGATTTGCAGTGCTGCTAATTCTCCATGCCTGGGGTTCTTTGGGAGTTTTCTTGCCCTTTCTCTCCAAGTCTCCTAATCATTAGTTAGACTGGAGATGGATTTTAGTGACTTCATGCTCCGATTGTGAGGCCACCAAGATTCTAATCACCTTTTCTCCCTTTTTTTGACTCCTGTAGGGAAATGTGCCCCTGAGGGAGCTGAACGCCCGCCCCATGGAGGTGTTCATGTGCAGCGTGCTCAAGAGGCAGGGCTACGGCGAGGGTTTCCGTTGGCTTTCTCAGTACATTGACTGATGTGGGGGCAGTGAAAATAAAAGCCTTTTGCTTCTCTGGACTGATCCTGTTCACAGCTTCCTCGTGGACTTTTCTCTTATGACACGGAAAGCTCTCCGACCACATCCTGGCGTTGGGAAAGCCGGGAGGAGCCTTGGGTGGCTCTCTGATGGCCCAGTGGTGACACGTGTTCTTTTCCACCCTTTGGGGGGAGCAGAGTGCCTCCCCACGGGCTGGGTGAAGCCGGCTCTCGCTCTCTGGGGCTCTTGCCTGCCAGGGCCCTTTGCAGGGGCAGCTGAAAAGAACAACTTGTCTCACCACTGTAGTCGATAGAAAAAGAAAACGATTCTATTTTTTAAAATGAGTGTTATCAATGTAATCCGTGTCCCTTCCAACTTCTTCATTTAACATTCACTTGTTTAGTCCAGAGTCTACATTAGGGTTGGTTTTTTTAAAAAATCTATTTAATGGCATTTAGATATTTTACAAAAATACTGAGCAAATATATTTGAGACCCACAGTAAATCTAGGTTTGGGTGTGGTTGCTCTGTTGGACTGGGCAGATTTTGGATCAGATGCTTTCATGGCCGAGTGGTTCAGTGAGGTCTCTTGGAGCTCACCTATCTTTGGTGACTGCCTTGCCTTAGGAGGTGCTGGTCTAGGTACTTTTTCCTCCTGCTGCATGGAGTACTAGGAGAGGGACAGCATCTTGGTGTCCAGTTTTGTCAATGGGTTTTCTGCAGCAGTAGATTAGGGTCATAATTCTTTATCAAAGGGGCTAATCATTTGCAAAAAAAAAAAAATTAGAAAAGTACACAACATTCAACTTACTTGTCGTAAAACGGTTATAAATTTAAGCCAGGTTCTGCTTTTATACTCTCTTGAATTTTCACTCCTGCCTATAGCTCCTTCTTTCTTCCTTTTCAGTTATTTAAAAACAACAACAAAAAACTGACTTAATCCTCCCCAGAAAGCAGCGGGACCAAAATCAGGCATTCTGCTTCGTTGCACGCTGCAGATGTTTTAAGTCACTTTTTCACACAGGTTAGGGAGCCATCCTCCGAAGACAACTGATACACAGGGGAGCACCGTATTGGCTTGAGATCATCAGATTCTCCATTGATTAGGAACTGGATCTGCTTGGTGATTCCAGAAAGGGTGACTGGGATTGAACTGAACTACTGGATTATGGAAGTTGGGTGCATGGGCTTATGGGAAGAAGGGGAGAAGTGGACAAGAGGATATCTTGGAATAGGGAAGAGTTGGTATAACTCTTCAATCAGGCTTGGCATTCTTGATGCTCAGTATTGGGGCGCCGGAGTACCCCATGGCCAAATACTGTAGTGGTTTAGCACCATGACAGATGTGTGACAGTCTTGCAGGGCCATAGTTTTCCTGTCCAAAGGATGCTTCTCTTTTTTGAATATTTTGCAGTTGATGTTATTTCTTAAAACAGCAAAGCAACAAAATGAAAGTTTATGTGGGTTTGGAAGGGGCAGATGCCTTAAAAGTGAACAAATCTAGTTATCAGTGACTGAACCACATAGTGGCCTTCCTCGTCTTTTTTTTTTTCGCAAGAAGCTGCTCATACTTCTCTCCATGGAGACTTGGGAAGGGTGGTCACTTCAGTGTCGAGCTAATTTTTCTCTGTAGTAAGTTAGACAGTCATTGCCCCAAGCTAGGGCAACCTTCTGTGAAAGTGGTCTATGTTTACCACTGGAGAAAGAAGGGGCCAAAGTGAGAGGAAGCATCCTCCTTGTGCCTCGTGGTGTATGCACCATTCCTCTACAGAGACTGCTGAGAAATACAGCCAGTGGAAGTTCAACATGTGATTACATCAAAGATCCAGGGCTGCTTACAGACATTAATGTGAATGGAAACTTCATTATGTTGTATCAAGGTGTTTGCTGTTCCCCTTTCTGGAAAAGTGAAGCAACCTTTTGCAAAAGGAGGTCATTCTGTATCCAATGCATTTTAATAAAAAGGTAAAAAAAGAGCTTGCCACTGAATGTACTAGTCTAGTTATGGTTTGACCACGGGGTGTGTCTAATGTCCCCAGAAAACCTTGAGAAAGGGAGAGAAGAAAGGAGCCAAGGTGACCTATCTCACAAAAGGATCCTGGTGTACCCTGAAATCCCCTGTGTTCTCTAGGTGCTTGAAGTCAGCTTGTCAACAAGCATAATTTATAAGTATTAAATACCTACCATACACCTAGCACAGTGCTAGGAGCTTGGGGTCCAAGGACGAAAAATAAACTTTGTGTTCTCAAGAAACCTAAGCTCTATTGGGAGACAGTCTGGCTTTCAAGAGTGTACAGGAGAAATACAGAATGGGAGGGCAGGCTGCTAACACCTGAGGGGAGGTCAGGAGAACCGTAGGCCTTCGTGTGGAAGCTGATTCTTGAGCTGGATATTGTGACTAAGGAGAGGAAAGAATGTGTTTGTGCCTCGGGGGCGAGGTACAATGGGGAGAATACAGAGGCAGAGGGGGGAAATGGACTGATGGGTGAGAAGAACAGGGAGAACGTAGAAGGGGCTTAATATGGGATGAGGAGGGAAAGAGAGGATGGGGCTTTAAAAGGCAAACAAGTTGGAATAGGGGGCCGCTACGGTTTTGTTGAGTGGTGCGGTGACCTCACGTTAGCAGCTGTGTGGATGTAAAGAGGTGAGATGTGAGGCAGGAGACATGCAGAAGCTATTGCAGTAGGCAAGGGGAGCAGAGACGGGGCCTAAACTAAGGGGGTGGCTGGCCCAATAGAAGGAAACCGTTTTGAAGGGGTATTGAGTTTAGAAATAGCAAGGTTTGGCAACTGATGGAACATATGAGATGAAATTTGAGGTTTACAAAGTGGTGCCTTGGGCAGTAGGCTGCCATTTTACAAATAAAGAAACTGAGCCTCTGAGAGGCTAAAATGACGCGCCTGTGGTTCACAGGGCTCCAGCGTGGGAGCTGGGATCTGAATCTGAGTGTCCAGTGCCAGCCCTCTTTCCACTACAAGGGGACGCTTTGGTTTTATGGTACCACAGGCTTGGCGTGTTGATGATTGTCCCTGAAATTGTAGGGGGAGTTTAGTTGCTTAATCAAAAGTAAGGAGGGTCTTAATGGAGTGCAGAGTGTGTCCTTAGTATTATGAACATGAGAACCCAAAGGACTCAGGGGAGAAGCGAGTGGGCTGCTCTAAGACTCTTAGGTTTTTCACAAGCCTCATCCATGGGATAACTGCCAAACAGATGCCTTAAAGTACTGGTACAGATTGAAATCCAACACAACAGGTCTGAGGTGGTAAATTGCTACCTGTCCGAAACCGATGTCCCCATTGAGCAGTCTTGGAACACGGAAGGGGTGTATCTTTGTTGTCTTGAGCTAAACTGCAAGGTGACAAGGTTCATACTTTGAGAATGTTCCTGTGAAGCAGTGAGCAGCAGTGAATAGAATGCTGATCTTGGAGTCAGGAAGCCTTGGGTTCAGATTCTGCCTCAGACACCAGCTTCACAACCATAGCAAAGTCAGTGAACTCATCTGTAAAATGGAAATAATTATAGTACTCAAATGGTTCTGAAGATCAATGTAAAGCTCTATATAAATGCCAGCAGTGATGATTTTTAAGGCAATTTCATAGTGTTTGTGACTTCGGGAAATTAAAGCTCTGAGCCATTTTCCATATTGTAAACATACCATATCAGCACAGCATCCTGTGCTAATTGCTTCAGTATCATTAGGGGAAGATCATTGGACTCTAGGGAGGGAGACACTCATCAATGGGAGCTGGAATAGTTAACAGGACTTTTACAATTATTAGGCCCACTTGTGGGTCTGCTGGCCCAGGCCCAAGAAAGGGCCGAGTGTGCAAGGGAAAACCATTAATCATGGCCCCTTTTGTGGTTCTATTGTGAAAGATAATTATTAGCCTGAGTGAGACTTTGTGCCTTGATTATGTGTTGTGAAAATATTAAACTTCTTTAAACACTTGCATACTTCAAGGGTCTGTCATTTCATCATTGTGGGTTCACCTTTCAAGGATTCATAACGGCAACCTCTCTAATTTAGGAGACATTCTGTGAAAGTTGCTGTGGCCCATAATTCCCCAACCAGCAACCAACCTGGTAGTGAGCTGGAAAGACAGGAAGAGGAAAGTACCAAAGAGGACTTTGAATAGCCAAAGAGATGGCCTGGCAGTTTACTAAGTAATCAGTGCCCCAGACAACCCTTTCGGACTATTAAGTTACAAAAGATGTGCTGACCTCACTAGCGGAAGAGATTTCTCATCAGCTATTCAGTACATTAAGGAGATTGGAAGGCCGGTACTTAATCACTGTTATCCCAGACTTGGGGAGGGGGGCAGCCTACACTAATGTAGAGTCGAGACAAGATGGTGGGGTTGAGATCAGGGAATATGCGCTAGTAAAGAGAGGTGGAGGGAACTCATTCATTTTACAGATGAGAACACTGAGAAACTGAGGCCAAAGACATTGAATGACTTGTCCAAGGTCACACAGGTAATACCAGAGGCAGGATTTGAACTCGGGTCCTATGACTCCACAGCCAGGACTCTAAATCCATCTATTGTCTTATAATCAATTATTATTGACTCCAATGACTGCCTTGTGCATGATAAGCTATAAACCAGAGGAGTGTGTTGCTGTGGGAAGAGTTGATCTTGAGGTTAGGAAAACCTAGGTTCAGGTCCTGCATGGAACTCACCCATGAGGACTCCACTTCCACATTTATGAATTTTTCCATATCTGGTTACAATCTTTTGTCATTCCACTCTTCCCTCTGCCACGCGACCCCAGACAGTTCTTTTGTCTTTACCGGGACCTCCAACCTTCAGTTCTTTTCCAGATGATGACTTCACTACCAGCTAACCTCTCCTTCCTTCCCCATCTTGACCCTTTGGTGAACCAGTTCCACCAAAGTCTCTTGCCCTCTTGTACTACTGTACATTGCATCTCCAAACTCTGCTTTTTTTTTCCCTCCCCATTTCCATATACTTGGAATTCCATTTTCGTAGTCTCATCCTTCTTGACTCTGGAGAAAGTATGTCAGTATCTACTGGCATTGTATGGATCCATGAAGGTGCCATCTATCTGAGATGAATGGCAGAGCCATCTTGCTTGACCAACATCCCCGGATACAACCAGTATAAGCCTTCCTATGCACTTGAGAGGCCCCGTTGGTGTCGATCTGGCTGGAGGATGTACGCGGGTGATGACTGGGGGTGTGTGGAGTGTTCAGGGAGGACTAACACCTCTGGTGTGAGGCCTTGCTGAGCCCTTGTCAGGGCCGCTCATCCACCTTTGGTGTCCACCTGGCACTCACCCCTCATCTGTGATTCCTATAGAATCCACGGGGGCCACACCCTGGTAAAGGTCTCAAGGAAGGGCTAAAATCAGGTTGAGGGTAACTGATGGGCCTCAAACCCATCGGGGAGTTGGGGGGGTGTCCACCATATGAAGACTTCCCTTGGCAGCAGCGGCAGATGAGAACAGTTTGCTCCACTGGCCACAAAGGTGGCTGAAGCAGGCCTCGTGGAGTGCTTAGAGCTTCATCAGACATCGGAGAGGCCAAGGTCATCCACTCCATCCCAAGCCATCACCGGTCATCCTGACTTGGTCCTGCCACTGGACTTCTGATGATTCAGGAAGATGAGAGTGAGGTTTACTTAAATCCAATTCCAGAGCAAGTCGGTCCTGCTGGAAAAGGAAGGACAAACAACAGAGGGTAACATCATCCTCCCAGTTACCTGGACTCCCAGCCTAGGAGTCATTCTGGGCTTTTCACTCTCTCTCACCCCCAGATCCAATCAGTTGCCAAGGCTCAAGCATTTGACCTAGTAGGTTCCCCTTCTCTCCTCTAGGAGTTAGGAGAACCTGAGTTCAAATCCAGCTTCAGAAGCATAACACTAGTTTTGTGACTCTGGGCAAGTCACTTAACCCCAATTGCCTTGCCAAAAAAAAAAGCCTTTCAGGGTCACCCCTAATTCTAGTGCCTTCCTTTGACTGGAATCCCGTGTTTAGCACAGGGTAAGTGCTTAAAAAATTCTTGCCGAGTCATTGACTTTACAGAAGTGGCATTTAGCCTGAGCACGATAGTATGGTAGCAGGTGGAAATTGGGGTGGAGGACATTCTACTTCATGGGATTATGGCAGAGCGCTGGACTGGAATGAAAAAGTAGTCCAGTTGAGGGGGCGTAAAGGGGAATAGGATTAGAGAAGGTATGGAACAGATGCTTAATAAATGTTTGTAGGCTTGGTTTTGGAAAAGTCGCTTAATGGACAAGACGGCTTTTAAAATTCCTTTGCTGCTCTAAATCTAGGTAGCTAAGAATTGCATTGTGGAAAGCCCAGAATACGTTAAGGGGTTCCCTGAACTTGTTAATTTCTCTTGTAATAAACCTGGTTCTCACCTAGGTCTCAGAATGCTGTGATTGACTGTTGTCAGAGGTAAGGCTACGAAATTTGAAGTTTATGCTGCAGGTCCAGGGTTGGCAAACATCCAGGAAATAGCAGATGGCTCCTCACCTGGCTCTGTAATAAACAAATAAATTAAATAAATAAACAAATAAAATAAACTTGCATAAAAACCCTACACAGGTGGTGACTCCTGCTCTAGGGACGGGTTTTGGTGGTTGGGTGTGACTTGGCACAGCCTTTGGTACAGAGACCAGGCCAGAAGTGCTGGGTCTCGGTGGCAGCTGGGTGACCCTGGGCAAGTCACAGCTTTTCTCGACAAAATGGGCCCAGTAGCCACCTCACTCCTTATCTGCCGGGGCCAGAGGTAACAAGGCGAGCGCCAACTGCAAAGCGGCCTATGAACTTGACCCTCAGCCGCCCCGCCCGCTTCCGTAAGACGAGAGTCCGGATTGGCACGCCCCCATGGCCGTTCTACTGCCTGGCCAGGGCTGTGACTGCCGGAAGACCCCAGATCCCTGCTGCGCATGCTCCAAGTGGGAGTCACTGGCCGGCCATCCAATCCCGTCGCGCGGGCCTCGTCGGTCAGCCAATCAAGAGCCTCGAGGAAAAGGCTCCGGGACCCTATTGGGTGGCGGCGCAGAAGGCCCTTGGCTGCGGAGGGGCTCGGTTCGGGCCGGGGAGGGGGCACTCGGCGGGGCGTCAAGGGCCATGGGGCTGCGGCGCTGGGGCCCAGCCTTGGCGGCGGGCGAGCGGGCGGGCTGCGTGGTGAGCGCCCGCGGCGCGGAGCGGCCCGGGGCCGAGGCCGAGGGCCCGTGGAGCTGCAGCGGGGTGTTGCTGAGTCGGCGCGCGGGGCTAGTGCTGTGCCACGGGGGCATCGTGGCACCCTTCCTGCGCTCCGGCGTCGCGGCGCTGCAGCCGGGGGCGGGGCCGCCCTTCCTGGGCGCCGACAGCTGCCGCGACGACCTGCGGCTGCAGGTGCAGTGGGGGCCGGGCCGCGGGCCGGGGGCGCCGGCTGGGCAGTGGGGCGAGCTGTGCACGCCTCCTTGCAGCGCCCAGCCGGCGCCCCGCGGCCCGGACCGCGCCCGCCTGCTGTTGCTGGTCTCCTGCCCGGCTTTCCGCGCCAGCTTCGCGTGCCTCTTCGGAGGCGAGGCGGCCGAGCAGTGGCGCTTCGCGGGCGGCGGCCCCGAGCCGCCCGCGCCCCCGCAGGAGCCCGAGGCCGAGGCGGGCGCGTGGGCGGAAGAGGGGCCGCTGCTGGCGGCGCTCGGCTGGTTCGCGCTGCTGAGCGTGGAGGGGCGCGCCGAGGCGGCGGGGGGCCCGCGGCTGGCGGTGGCCGCGGCCGCCTCCCTGCCCAAGGGCGCCCCGCTGCTCGCCTGCGGCTCCCCGTTCGGCGCCTTCTGCCCGGACATCTTCCTCAACAGCGTGAGCCGCGGCGTGCTCAGCAACGCAGCCGGTCCTCTGCTGCTCACCGATGCGCGCTGTCTGCCCGGCACCGAGGGCGCCGGCGTCTTCTCGGCCGACGGCGAGCTCGTGGCGCTTGTGGCGGCCCCGCTCTGCTGGCGGGCCCGCGAGTGGGTGGGCCTGAGTCTGCTGTGCGCCGCCGACGCGCTCCTCCGCGCCGCAGCCCACGCGATGGGCCGCCTGGACCGCCCCGCCGATGCCCGCCTGCTGGCCGCCCTCCTGCCCCCCGAGGACGGGGAGGCCGTCATCCCTCTCCCGGAGCATGGGGCTGCGTGGGTCGCAGCCGTCCTGGTCGAGTGCGGGTCCGTGTGGGGCTCCGGAGTGGCTCTGACCCCCGCGCCTTGTGCTCACCTGCCGTCACGTGGCTCCTCGGGAGGCCAAGAGGGTCCTGGTGCGGCCTGCCACCCTCAAGTAAGGCTGGGGTTACCCAGCAACGCCGTCCTCAGCGGACGCCCCAGCTGTTACTGTGGCTTCTCGGGTTGCCTAGCAACCCATTTCCACTCCCCCATCCCTTAATTGCTTAGCGCTCCACCCCCACCCAGCCCTTCTATTGGTCTATTTCGATGACAAGCGACGTCATCCCTCCCGCAGCCGAGTTGTATCTTCCTGGGTTGCCTAGGCCCGAGCCCTTGGAAGGCAATCACAGTCTCCCCCTTGTGCTCCTAGATACCGTCCCCCAAACCTCTTAGGTGTGCTGCCTCCCCCGCTCCAGCTGATCCTGGTCTCTAGGCCGCCTTGCCATTGCCATCCACAGTCCAAGGGTTACTTAGCTCCATTCCCGGCCCACTTGGTATTCCCACATGGGTTGCCCACAATACCTTTCCTACCTCCTGGCTACTTTCCCCTTCCCCTGGTTGCCTAGCAACTCTATCCGGAGCCCTCCACAAACTTTCTGTTCGGTCTGGTTTGTTGAGAAGTGCTAAGGGCCCGCCTTGCCTCTAGCAGGCTCTTAGTTGCTTAGCAACCCCAGTCCATCCTGGGTTTCCTAGCAGCACCACCCCCCTTCACGCCGCATACTCCCTGCTGGGGGTTGCTTAGCAACCGCCACCTGCACTCCCACAGCTCCATCCCTGTTTCTCCTCTAATCCTCAGCGACTCCTATTTCTTAGATTACTTGGGAATACTCAGGTCATGCCAACCCATAGCATTCTGTCCTGAACTGTCTAGTGAAGTTGGCTCCATAGTCTGCCAGCCCTTTCCTCTTGCTAAGGCAGCTGTGTCTCTTGCCCTTCTCATACTACTTCCATGTCATCTGCCTCATCTTCAGCCAGCCCTCTTCACATGCCCTCCCGTGCTAGGCCAGTGTCTGGGAAATTCTAGGAGAGGCCTTTGTTGTTTTCCCCACCCTGAGTGGGGAGGTCTTTGAATTGGCTGGGCTTTCTTCACCACATCCCATCGCATTGGGGGCATAAATATTCTCTTTGTCTCACAAAGGAGGAAATGGAGGCCCCAAGAGGCACAGTGACTTAGCCAAGGTCACACAGCTGGGATTCCATCCCCGGTCCTCTGTCTCCATGTCTAATGCCTGCTAGTTCACTCTGTGCCATGGCTGCCTTATAATGAGCTTAGTGGAGGTGGTGGGGATTTCTGGGTGCAGCCACTTCACTTGTCTGGATCTGTAAGTCGTCCTTTGTCCCTCTTTCTTGGGCAGCTGTTTTCTTCACCTGCCTCCACTCACCGCTCATTAGAGCAATCTGATTCACATCCTGCCTTTTCCTCTGTGGCCTCAGGCACCTGCTTAAAGAACAGAGGAGACCAGGGTGGCCCCAGTGAGGCTCTGTCTGGCCAATGGACTTGTCCCAATAGGCCTGGACCTGGTGGGGGAGTAGGGAGGTCACAGGACTTGGGTTTCAGTGTGGCCTTTGCCACACCAGCTGTAGGAACTTGGACAAGTCACTTCAAATTTCTAAGCCTCAGTTTCCCCCTCTGTAAAATGAGGGGGCTGGAGCTGATGACTTAAGATCCCTCCTAACTCTGTAGTCCTGTGTTCCTAATTAACTGTGCTTTTACAAATCACTTTTCTTGGGTCCACGTGTTTGGACTTTAGTAGGAGTGAGGAGGGAACTTCCATTATATAGTACAGGTTTGTAGATGGCTGGAGTTGAATGGCACCTGAGAGGTCACCCTAGAGTCCATTCCCCTTGTTTGACAGAAAAGGGAAACTGAGGCTGCAGAAAAGTGGTCAGGAGCCAGGAATCAAGTCAGGTCTCCTGACTTTTCAGGCTATTCTTTTTTTGTGAATCTCTGACCCTCTGCCATCGGGTTCCTCACTGCACTGACCTGGTTCTCCAGTAAGATGGGAAAGCATTATTATAACCTGGGGAGGGGGGAGTGTGTGGTCCCTATTCTCTCCTACTCCTCCTATGTGTGATGGCTCTTAGTAGTACTGGAGTGATTGATGCCGGGCAGTGGAGGAAAGGCGCTGGCTTTGGAGGTTGGGACGAGGGTTTGCTTCCCAGCTCTGGCCCTGACTGGCTGTGGGCCTTTGAGCAAGTCAAATATGTCCCTAAAATGGGACCATGACCTCCAAGATCTCTTCCAGCTCTGGGTCCTAGGAGCCAGAAAGAAGGCAGACCAGCTCCAGGGAGGTTCCTTTTTGCCCAGCATTGCCTTGAGCTCGGAGGCTGTAATCCATGAGTCGTCATCCTGAAATCTGCCTCTACCCCTTGTTTACCCCCAGGAGTTCTCCGGTCTGGGGGAAAGTGGTGTTTGCTACCCAGGACACATCTCCATATGATGTAGCGGTGGTGAAGCTGGAGGAAAACCTCAGCGGCATCCCATTTCCTGTCCTGGCCAGCCACTTCCATGAAGGTAAGGTGGGAGGATGGGGACTGTGAATCTGGGCATAACGAGCCAAGTTAGGGGTGGGTGGCAGAGGCGGCTGGGCCCAGCAGTCCTCCACCAGGCGTCTGCTGGGACCTGCCCTCCTGCCCAGCTGGCATCCAGCAGGGCTGAGCGCTTCCACTCTTGGGAACCTCTACAAAATGAGGGTGCTGGCCTAGGAGATGGACAAGATTCTTCCTAGTCCTAAATCCGGTCATCTTTTCATTCTGGAATATGAAGCACTCGTTTGCGTGATGCTGTGAGGTTACATTCGTTAGGATGTGAGCTCTTTGTGAGGCAGAATTGGTCATCCTTTGTAGGGATATCCACCGTGCGTGGCACACAGTAGCTCACTGATTGATTGATAGCGTTTCCCACCATGTCTGTAGATAGATTTTTTGGACAGGATTGGTGATTTCCTTGGTGTGTGGAGCCCCCAGTTCTCCAGGGATGAATTATCTCTGCCAGTGTAGATTAGTGGATTTTTCTGACATGCATGATCTGAGCTGGCTGTGGAACTTAAAGGGAAGCCCAGGGTCACATGGCCAGGATGTTCAAGAGGCAGGATTTGAACCCAGGTCATCCAGACTCTGAGGGCAGCCCTCTCTTCACTATGGATGCTGCTTGTGTGTTAATGATTATAATGATATTAATTAGCAGCCACTCCTGAGGAAGCTGAGCTTCCAGAGAGGAAGGAACTTGTTCAAGGTCACAGAGGTAATTAGTAAGTAGCAGAACCAGGTTCTTTTGAGTCCAAGCTCCTTACTCTTTTCACTAGACCCCCCAGGGGCAGCTGTGTTCTAGTGGCAGAATGTGAGGCCAGGGGCAGCGAAGCCCTCTTGTCCTCTTGCTGGGAGCTGACCGTCTACCTGCTCCCCACCCGATCCTGGCCTGCCCTTCCTTTTCCAGGTGAGGATGTGCAAGTGGTCGGCTTTGGGGCCTTTGGCCAGGCCTGCGGTCCCTCAGTGACCTCGGGGATCCTGTCTGCTGTGGTGGAGGTGAATGACGCACCCGTGATGCTGCAGACGACGTGTGCCGTGCATGGGGGGTCCAGCGGGGGGCCTCTCTTCACTGGCTCTGGGGAACTGCTTGGTAATGAGCTCCCTGAATTCCTTCCCTCTCCTTCTGTCCCCCAGTTAGGCTCAGGAAACTTCTGTGTGCCCAGCCCTGTTCTAGGCACCAGAGGGAGAAGAGGGAAATAGGGATAAAGGCCATGTGGTCCCTGCCCTTGGGAACTGGCAGACTCTTTGAAGGAGATAGTGTACATACCCCAAAAGGCTGAGAAAGCACTTGAACGAGGGGGCAGACTGTTGGGGGAGGGGAATCATGGAGGGCTGGGGTAGCTCATGTCTGGATGGTCACCACAGGTTGACCCCAAGAGCTGAGTGCTGCTGTTCTGGTGACAGCTGGGCTCTGGTCACCTGTGGTCTCTTTACTCCTGCTTCTACCCTGCAGGGATTGTCACCAGCAACGCTAGAGACAACAGCACAGGGGCCACGTATCCTCACCTGAACTTCAGCATCCCCATCACTGTGCTAGAGCCAGCCCTGGATCAGTACAGACGGACTGGGGACCTGCACCGCCTCAGGGAGCTGGACCGGCCCGGCGAGCAGGTCAGGGTGGTGTGGCGGCTGCAGAGGGTCTTGGCCGAGCCGCCTCGGAGCAAGCTCTGACCCCTCTGGGGGGCACTGCCTGTCTCCTGTTGGATGTTGGGACATTGATGATGGTGGCCCAGTGACCCGGGGCGGCAGCCTGATGGAATGAATGGACGCTGTCTCCAGGCACAGACTTATCTTGGAAGTTATCAGCAGGGATCCCACCCACCCGTCTGCTCCTGCCCTTCAGGTGTGGGGCGCTCCCTGCAGTTGGGTTCGCCTCAGGAGACATCGTTTGACCCCTTTACTGTGTTCCTGACAAGCGGTCATCCAGCCTGAGCCTGGGGAATGCTGGTGAAGTCCCGGGGGCACGAACGTGTCCCTTTGTAGTAGCGGTGGTGACGGTGGTGGGGCAGCTCAGTCAGGAGGAAAATAATAAAAATGGCCCCTGTTCGTAAAGTGCTTTCTTCACAGCCACATGGCGAGGTTGGGTGTGCAGGTAGTATACCCATTTTACAGGCAAGGGAGCTGAGACACAGGCAACTTCAGTACAGTACAGTAATCTGTGAGGTGTAGGGGGTGCAGATCTCCATTCTACAGTTGTGGAAACAGGCCCAGAGAGATAGTGAGTTACTTGTCTGTGGTCACCAGACACAGGTAGTAGGGGGCACAGCTGAGACTCAAACCCAGGTGTTTGACCCCAAAATTCAGTGCTCTTCCCAGCCTCTTCTGTCCAGCCTTCTCTTATGGACTGAATGACCCTAGAGACCTGTGGACAGGTGGGCGTGGATCATCGGTGCTTCCAGCCCTGGCCAGGTGAGAGCTGCAGGGCTGGCTCCAGCAGGCAGGTGGCCCCAGAAATGGAAGGGCCTGTCCTCAGTCCCTGCACTAGCATCTCTGGGGAGTGGTCTTCCGGCCTCCCTCTACCTCCTCCGCCCAGTGCTGCTGGTTCTGCTGTCTGGGGCCCAGCAGAACAAGTGGGTCCTTCCTTGGGACAGCCCTTCTAGGGCTGGGAGGCACTCAAGGTCCTCCCTGAGGCTTTTCTTTGCCAGACTCTGCTAGTGCTTTCCTGTTGTAATAGCAGAGGTTTTTAAAAAAATTCCTTCCCTTGAAACAATCCCCATTGTCTGGGAGTGCCGAAATTATCCCCGTTTGACAGATGAGAAAACTGAAGCTCAGAGAGGAGTAGTATACCCAAAGACCTACCAGTCATGGGTTCTAGAGAGTTGGACGGAGCCACCGTGGAGGTGTCTGCTCCCACCCTACTGCCCCTTTCAGAGGCGAGGGTGCCAGTGACTCCCCAGGCCCCACAGGCAGGGAGCTGCCGCCCGCGTCATCTTTCCATCCTACCTACGTCTCAGATCCATCCGCTGATTGAGGAGTTGTGTACATGGCGTGTGCCTTGGAGACTGCTAAGTGTGGGGACGAGTACGAGGAAGCAGAGCCGGTCCCCGTGCTCTGGGGGCTCATGTCATCTCCCTGATGCTGGTGGTTCCCCAGTCTGGATAAAGGCCGATGCCGGGCTTTTGGTGAGGCAGCCTCTACTCTGCACGCCTTGTGGACAGAGGGGTGGCCAGATGACACTTAGGGCATCGTGCAGCACGCCGAGTGATCCCGAGCCACTCTCGGACTCAAAAGTGCAGCTTTCAGATGTGTATTTCATTAACGTACATTTCCAGCCCAGACATTGATTTCCCTTCGGCCACTGGTGGTACAGGCAAAGTCAAGCCCTTGAGCAGCCAGTCTGCATGGTCCTGCACGCTATGGATCCGCAGAGCTCTGGCGTCCTTCCGCCTTCTCACCCTGTGGCTCTCGTACCAGTCACTCCCCTGCTTCCGCTCCCTTCGTGATGCATCAGGCTGGATGGGGCTTGCTGGGTGTCCTGGGAGCTGCCCCTTTTGCCATTTCTTTATGGAGCAGTAACATTCCATCTCATCCAGAGACCATTCCCCAATTGATGGGCTTCTTAGGTTCCAGTTCTTTACCACCACAAAGATGCTGTAAATATTTTTTGTACCTAGGGGTCTTCTTCCTCTTTGAACTCTAGGTGACTTGATATCTATAACTCGTGTTTATGTAACACTTTGAAGCTTACGCGCACTTTTTATAAATATCTCATTCAATCCAGCAGCTCTGGGAGGTGGGTGCCGCTACTGTCCCCATTTTACAGAAGGGGAAATGGTCTTGAGAGATGTGAAGGGACTTGTCCGGGGACACATGGCTAGCCAATGTCTAGGGCAGGATTTGAACTTACATCTTCCTGGTGCCCAGGCCGGTGCTCTGCCCACTGTGTGCCCCCTCACTGCCTTAGAGATACTTCTGGGCTGAGGGATGCACCATGTAGTAACCCTGGGCTCAGCTCCACATTGCTTCCCAGAATGTCTGGGCCAATTTACAGCCCATTACAATGCATCAGTGGGCTTTCTCCTGTCCCCCAACCTGGCCAGTCTGATGGGGGTGAGCCGCGGCCTCAGAGCGGGGAAGCCCATCTCACAAACACCAATATTATCCTTTTGTTGTTTGATGGTGAATCATGAAATGCTGATGCAGAAGAATCCAGATTGTGGATGACGCCAAGGGCAAGAGAATAACACATGGTGCATGGAGGTAGATGACGGCACAGGGCCAGGATGGATATGCTGGAGAAGCGTGACTGGAAATGGGTGTGGCTGGCCACGCATCAGTAGTGACGGTGTGATGGGTGCCCTGGTGTACGCATGGTATTATAAGGGCAGGAGGAAGCCTTCCTGTGTATTGGGTGGCTCCTCTGTGGAGGATTTGGAGAAAGACGGGGCCAAGCATCCTTTACACAGCACTTATTAAGCACCTACTGTGTGTCAGGGACTGCTAAACTCTGGGAATACAAAAAGAAGGTAAAAGCCCCTGCCCTTGAGGAGCTGACAACCTGATGGGGGAGATAGTATGCACATAGCTACATACAAACATGTTCTGTACTGAGAGAAGGCGCCAGGATCAAGGGGGGATTGGGACAAGTTTTGTGAAAGGTGGCATTTTATCTGGGACTTGAAATAAGTAAGGAAACAGTGTTAAGGAGGGAGAACAACTGATGTTTTAAGGTTTGCTAAGCACTTTACAGATACCTCATTTGATCCACACAACAACCCCCAAAGGTAGGTACTATTAGCTCCATTTTATACATGAGGAAACTGAGGCAGACTGGTTAAGTGACTTGCCCAGGGTCATACAGTTAGAAGTGGCTGAGGCTAAATTGGAACTCGGGTCTTTCTCAGTCCAGGTCTAGGCTGCCTCTGATCAGTGTCTTTGAATACGATTATTTCAGTTATATTTTCCAAGTAATCTGGAATTATTTTAATTCACGAATGGGAGACACCTTGTTGGGGAAAAAAAAAGCCACCTTGTTTTTATTGAGTCCAGTGCTTTTTCGTATCAGCAAACAGCGGGATCTCATGTTCTCTACACACATGTTTCAGTTGTGAATTGTAGACAGCAGAAATGATGTGGCCCCTGATGACGGCTGATAAGTCATCCCAAAGCCACATAAGGATGAAAAGGGAGAACAGAGGGGAGAAAAATGGAAAATATTCATAAAAAGTGTAACAGCAAGGATGGCAGAACACTATTTTGTTACTGTTCAGTCATTTTCCAGTCACGTCTGACTCTTTGAGACCCCCCCAATACTGGAGTGATTTGCCATTGTCTTCTCCAGTTCACTTGACAGATGTGGAAACTGAAAGTGAAGTGACTTGCCCAGGGTCACACAGCTCTGTCTGAGGCCAGATTTGAACTCAGGAATATGAATCTTCCTGACTCAGGCTCCAGGGCTCTATCCACTGCACCACCTGGGGAACCACCAAATTTGGACCGTAAAAATCACAGTCCCCAGGGAGTAAAACATGGCATTAGGGAGGATAAAGACAGGAAAAGTAATTAGACTGTTTAAAATACAGGCAGAGGAGTTACGGACCAGAGGCCATAGGATTGTGGGACCATGGAGAAACTAATATTTACCTGAAGGATGGCAAGATGCCAATGGTGTGATAAGTGTCTTGAACTTTAACACAAATGAAGAAGGACAAAGATAACTAACCTTTGGCCGTGTGCCTAATCTGTCACTGTGAGAGTCATCCATACATGAATGGAGGGCAGCCTCCATCAGGGCCTTAAAAGGGGACAAGCTGGCTTTCACAACTGATATTCAACAATAGACTTCACCCCCTGATTAGGGAAATTGTGTTAATTTGCTTACTTGGGCTCAAGGGTGGCTTCATGAGTCCCCTTAGCTGAGCAGGAATCGGGATTGAGAAGCAGAACCTCAGAGCTGGAGGGGACCTTGCAGACCATGGGGTCCAGCGTCCTCCTTTTGTAGGGGAGGAAACTGGCTCCCGGGAGCTCGTCAATACAGGTTGGGCAGTGCCTTTGACTCCAAATGCAGGCGGGAAGTCCAATGTGTCTGCAGCCCAGGGCCCAGGAAGGGCACTATTGCAAGGCACGGCTAGAAAAGAAGGCTGGAGCCAGACTCTGGAAGGCATCGAGTGCCAGGCTGCAGAGATTGGGCCCTATTCAGAAAGGCTCCGTGCCAGCGTCCCCAATACATGGCTCATTCCCACAGAATCCTAGAAGCCGAATCCCCTGCCTTTCTCCCTAGGACGTTAGGGGGTTAGAAGGAGATCAATTCTTTAAAAAGCTTTTAGAAGACGACTCTTCGATTCTGCCAGCTGCTAGAGTTTAGCCAGAGGGCATGTCCACAACTAGCTGTTTGTACCTCCTCCCTCGCGTTAGACTGAGCGTTTGTACGTTCGTTCATTCACTCGTGCGTTCACTCGCTCACTCACGGTATCCCGGCCCGTACCCAGGTGCACGTTGGACACATGCCTGTTGCCTGCCTCACTGGTCTGGCCCAGCTCCGTGGTTGGCTGGGGGACGAGGCGCCTCGGGAGCGGCCGCTGGGCTGCGTGCAGTGGACAGGGCTCCTCGGCCCCTGGGCTGCTGGCCCCTCCTCCTTCTCTCTCCTCCCTCTCCCCCCTCCTCTCCCCGGACGAGCTGAGTCACGCCGGGCCCAGAGTACTAACGGGACCCGGGGATCCGGGAGCTGTGGCTGCTGCGGGAGCGCGAGCCCGGGAGCTCCAGGTGAGACTGGGGGGGGGGGCTGTGAGGAACCCCAGGGACAGGGAAGGAGGACACGCTCCATGGCCCTTTATCTCTCTCCCCCCCCCACTTCCGGCTCCGGAAGAGGCTGCTTAGAGCGACTAAATGAAACAGCGAGGTCTCAGGCCCCGGGTTCGAGTTCCAACCCCTCCCTGCCAAACTTGGGCAAGCGGCTTCAACGGGTTGTAGAGGCAGGGACTGACCTCCGTTAGGAGGGGGAGTTTCCTTCCTGGGGAGTTCTCGTTATGTGATTCCTTTCTGTAGCTCTCGGCCGAGGAAACTCCCTCCACCGGCGCAGGGAGGACCGTTCTCTGCTATTTATTTCCGCAAGAGTTCCCTAGGGCACTGAGAGTGAAGTGGGTCATGCGGCCAGTGCGGGTCAGAGGCAGGACTCGAACCCTGGGCTTCCTGGCTCCCATTCTTATGCTCCGCACCCCCCAGTCCCGTGCTTGCAGCCCACAGGCAGTAGAGTGGATTGAATTGGTGTCCCAACGGCCTTTCACTAGAGTGTAGCAAACGTTCCGGAGCTAGGCGCTCCATGTGCTGCTAATGAACAGAATGACGCTTCCTGGAGGAAGTCCAGGGCGGGCGTCCCCAGATAAGGAAGTGCCACATCCTAGGAGGAAGGTGTGAGCCCTAGCTGCTTGGGGAGGATTAGGGAAGGTTTCCGGGGGAGGAGCTGAAGAGACCTCACATTCGTTAATTCCCTTCATGAGCTTTGTGTGCGGTCAAACTGGACCTCTCACAGACCCGCCTTCTCATCCTGCCCTCCCCTCGGGCTCCCCTATCCCCAGTCCCACCTGCTGAAGTTCTTCCATCTCTGTAGGACCCAGCTTGAGGCACTAAATCGGAAAGGAAGAGGGAGAGCATTCCAGGCAGGGGAAACAGCCTGGGCAAAGGTGCTGAAGTGGGAGGTGGAAGGTGCTGTCCAGGGAGCAGCGGGTTGGTCCGTTTGGCCAGCTATGGAGCAACTTGAGTAGGAGTTGTTATAGAAGTACCATCTGGGCATCTAATCCACCTCCCCCACGTGCCTCAGACTCATCCCCTTGTCTCAGGTCCCCTGGCCAGCACCCTGGTTCAGCCCCTCATTACCTCTCACCTGGACTGCTGCTCTCTAACTGATGCCAGTCCCTGGCACATAGTAAGCTACTGATTGATTGATTTTGCTTTTTTTTTGGCGAGGCAATCGGGGTTAAATGACTTGCTCAGAGTCACACAGCTAGTAAGTGTCAAGTGTCTGAGGCAGACTTTGGACTCGGGTCCTCCTGACTCCAAGGCCAGAGCTCTATCCACTGTACCACCTAATCTAATTGATTTATATGCCTGTAATATGCCTTGAGGCAGGGCTTGTTCTTTTTGCTTGTATTTATATGCCAAGGCTTAGCACCTTGCATTTAACAAATGCTTTTTGATTTGATCCTTGAAGGAAACAAAGGAGAGAGTGCATTCTAGGCAAGGGGTACAGCCTAGACAAAGGCCTGGAGGCAGGAGCTGAAGGGTCAGTGGCCCAGGATATGTCTGTCTGTCTGTCTGTCTCTCTTTTTTGGTTTGTTTGTTTTGTTTTTGATGAGGCAGTCGGGATTAAGTGACTTGCCCAGGGTCACACAGCTAGTAAGTGTCAAGTGTCTGAGGCTGGATTTGAACTCAGGGTCTTCCTGAATCCAGGACCTGTGCTCTATCCACTGCGCCTAGCTGCCCCCAGGATGTCTCTTTTCGGAGATCAGAAATGCACCTTCCACATCTTTTATAGAAGGGAAACAGTGAAAATAATTCACTTCAGCATTTCTGATGTTTCTACTATGTGCTGAGTTGATTAAGAAAGCTGACTGTTAGAAAAAGAATTTCGTAATACTTTCAATGACTTGGTATGCTACCTGGGAAAGTAGCCGTGAAATCCAGGAGTAAACAGTTTCCATGGCTGTCCCTCATGGGCGTCTTGACCAACGGGAAGGCTGACTTTGATGAGAACCATCCAGAAGTTCTCTCTTTTTTCCTGTGGAGCACAGATGACGCGTTGGTGGCTTATGGTGGTGCAGCCGAAGTCCATGATTCTTGGAATTGCAGACCAGGAGGAGACACCTCAGAGAACTTCCGGGCCAGTCCCTGGACAGGATTCTTTTCTACAACATTCCTCCCCGGTGGTTTTCCCAGCTTGGCTTGAACACCTCCTTAGGCTGCCTTTTCTTGGATCCCAAGGCCCAGGGAATGGCAGTGACTCTGATGTCACAGAACAGCCACAGAACATTAGAGCTGGGAGGGACCATAGAATCTACAACACCAAAGATAGAAGAGACGTTGAGCCCAGAGCCCAGAGTGTCGGACCTGGGAGGGACCTTAGAACGTAGAAGGTTAGGGCTACAGGGAAACCCTGAACATGATCTGATGGTCCAGGACTTCTTGATCATAGATTTCAAGGGGGTCTGGGAATTTGTTTTGAAAAATATTTTGATAATTGTATTTCAATATAATTGGTTTTCTTTGTAACCCTTGGTATTTTATTTTCTACTTTTAAAGGGAGGGAGCCACAGTGTTCACAGAACAGCCAGAAGAGGTTCCATGTAAAAAAAAAAGGGGGGGGTAGGAAGCACCGTTCTTCTGATTCTCTTATTTTACAGGTGGGGAGAGAGAGTAAATGCCTCATCCACAGAGACACAGCTAGTTAGTGCTATGGCTGGGACCAAGGCCAGGTCTCTTAATTGTAAATCCGTTGTTCTGCCATAGAATGCTGCCTTTAATCCAGTTAATCTCGGTTCCCCCCCCCCCCCCCGCCCCCACGCACATGGAGGTAAATTCTTTGAGGCCAGGGGCTTTTTTGTTTCTATCTTCATTTCGTTTTTTTGTCTTTGCACAGTACCAGGCATGTAGTGAATGCTTAATTAACCTTTAGCTGTTTGATTGGCCATGAAGCTCTGATTTGTTGCCGGAGGGAAGAGAGGATGGATTGGGGGGGATCAGCCGGCCTTTATTAATTGCCTCCTGTGTTCCAGAGGCAGTGCTAGGTGTTGGAGGTACAAGGACAATTGAGATGCATTTATTAAGCACCTAGTGCGTGCCGGGTGCTGTGCTAAGCTTTGGGGGATGGATGTACAAAGACAAAACCATCCCTACTTACTGTCAGCAAGGGCACAGGTGAGCGGGGCGAGGAGTCAGGTGTGCGTCTGTGCCAGCCTGTGAGCACCTGGAATTACTGGGAGTGAATGACCCATGGGGAATGCGCTCTTCCCTTTGGCCCATGATCCTGCTGCTGGGCACACCCCCAGAAGGAAGGCAGAGGCAGAAAGAAAGGGCCATCTCCAAGTGTCCCTAAGAGTGTTCTCTGTGGAGGCAAAGTGCGGGAAACACGGGTGCCCCTTCACCGGGGAATGCATGAGCAAGTTGTGCTGTGATCGATGACAGATTCAGAGCCGGGAGGGACCTCACAGGCCCTCCGCTCTATCTCTTCATTTTACAGATGAGGAAACCGAGGCCTCTATAACGGACTCACTTGAATGTGTTCTGTGGGTAGGTTTTTTTTCTACTTGGCTAGGTTCATCGTGGATGGTGTAAAATGATGCTATTAAAAAATCCCGGGGCAGCTAGGTGGTGCAGTGGTTAGAGCTCCGGACTTGGAGTCAGGAGGACCTGAGTTCAAATGCGACTTCAGACACATAACACTCACTAGCTGTGTGACCCTGGGCAAGTCACTTAACCCCATTACCCCATTAAAAAAACAAAAACAAAAAACCAACCAAACAAAAAAATCCCGAGGGGGCAGCTAGGTGGTGCAGTGGATAGAGTTCTGGCCTTGGAATCAGGAGGACATGAGTTCAAATCTGGCCTCAGATACTTGACACTTCCTAGCTGTGTGATCCTGGGCAAGTCACTTAACCCTGATTGCCTCACCAAAAAAACCAAAAAACCAAAAAGCAAACCCAAAAAATCCCGAGACGTCAGTAAAAAACTTGGAAAACAGAAGTCCAGTGAGGGCCCATTTCAGCTATGGAAGATGGTTCCTGTCTCCCCCGGGGGGCTGCTAGCTTTTCCTCTGTAGTTGGGCTCAGCCTGGCAAAGGATGGATGGGGAAATCCATTCCTTGTGGGATGAGAAAGTGTAGCTGTTGAAACACTGGGTATTGAAATAGGAGCAAAAGGCATCTTCAGGCCACAACTGAGGCAGGGTCATGGCGTGCTCCCTCTAACCCAGCCCCCGGGCCTTTGACAGAGCAGGGGAGCCAAGATCCAAGAGAAAGGAGGACTTGTTTAAGTCTGCCCAGCTGGACTCTGAGTCCTCGATTCTCTAGAGGAGCCGAGATTTGAACCATTAACTGCCTGTGATGTTTTAGAGGGAGAGACAGGAGAAAAAAAGATGGGGGTAGGGGGAGTGTGGCCCCGATTATACAGCTTACCTGTGTGATATTAGATTTATGTTATGCATTTGACCATAGCTCCCCAAGGGCAAGAACTGTCTTTGTCTTTCTTTATACCTCAGGGCTTAGCACAGTGCCTGGCACACACACAGCAGGTGCTTAATAAATGCTTGTTGATTGATTGAATAACCAAGTGACTTTTTGTAGACCTTGTTTTGGATGCTACCCGTCGTCGCTGGTTTCCAGATTGGTGGAAGGAGAGGCCTTTTCTCAGGTATCTCTGCCACTCTCAGTTTTCTGTCCGGTCATTTCCCAAATCTTTGCCTTCTCATGCTGGGTCTCCATAGATTTTGCCCCAAACTTTATGAGTTTTCCGAGAAACAAAGACTTCTCACCTCAGCTGGCCAGCGTGGCCTGTGACTTGCTTCAAGAGCTGAGCTGTGGCTTGGAAATCTGGGAGCTCACTGTGGTGACCCCAGCCCAGCCCCTGGCCTCCTCCTCCTCTACAGGCCTCAGTTTCTTCATCTGTTAATAAGTGTAATCTTCTACCTTTGTAGTCCTGGTCAGTGAGAATTGAGGTGTAGGGCTCAGGACATTGACTGTACTATCCCTCCTAAGGCAGGAAAGGGAAGTCAGCTGGAGTTAGAGGTGGGAATGCAGAAACAAAAATGAAACGGCCCCTGTCATTGAGGAGCTGACAGGCCAGTCGAGGAAGTCCACCCTTCTAGGACCTGGCTTGTCCACGGTCCTGTCGGGAGTCACTGACCAAACCAGGAAGCCAGCTCCACCCTTGTGGCTTTGTGGCCACTGGGCCTTCCCCTGCCTAGGACTCAGAAGGCTCGGTAATGCCCCGTGCACAAAGCACGCTCGTAGACTTGGCCCTAGTTAAGGTTGACTTTCATTTCCTTCTTTGAAATTATATTTAAATAACAAATATTTAATAATAATAATAATCATGATAAAATATAATTGATAGTTTCTTATAGAGCTGTCGTTGCCTAATTATTCCTCTTATTTCTCCTCCCCCACCAAGAGAAACCTCGTTGTAACAAAGAAATAGAATTAAGTAAAACACATCAACACATTGGCAGTCTATTGGTGTATGCCATATTCTGCACCTGTAGGCCACCACCTCTCCGCTTGGGTTGTCAGCACCATAAAATCAGGGTTTTGCCTTTCTGACTTGTTTGGCTAGGCCGCACTGCCCCCTCCCCAGCCCCATCTCATCCTGTGGGGCCCAGTTAGCTTGAGCCTTATGTACAGAGCAGCTTGATTGGCTCATCACTGAATCTTCCTCCCTTGGGGGCATCCAGGCCGGGATGGGATCCCAGATCTCCGTGGATGCGTCTGTGCACGTGGTCATTGTCGGAGGCGGCTTCGGTGGGATCGCGGCTGCCAGCCAGCTCCAGTCCTGGGGTGTCCCCTTCACGCTGGTGGACATGAGAGACTCTTTCCATCACAACGTGGCAGCCCTCCGGGCCTCTGTCGAGAGTGGTAATTTCTTCTTTTCTGGGGGGAGGCGTATGTCTAGATGGCAGTTGAGTTGCAGCTAGAACCCAGACCTCGTATTTTGCTCTTAGGGCTCCCTCTACTTTTTCTGAGTCTGTCCCAAACTTTCGGATTGTAATAGCTGGCTGAGAGTAAGGGGGAGGAAGGGTAGAGGGGCAGGGCAGGGGCTTGTGCCAGGAGGGGCAGTAGAGGGGAAAGGGACAAAGGGGAAAAAAAAACTCCCCGATTTTGCCTCCTGCAGTATTTTGCCCAGAGCTGTCCTGGCTTAAGTGCTTTAAAAAAATGCCCTCACTCATGGAAAGAGGATGTTTTCAATGTTGTGGAAAGGGCATGGGACACTCCCTACCTATGTGACCCTGGGCCAGTCACAGCCTCTCTGTTTCCTCATCTGTAAGATGGAGGTAATGACAGTTTCCTTCTTTAGCTCACAGGCTGTTGGGAGGAAAGCCCTTTGTCTACCCTCTGGGGCCGGAGGCTGGAAGAGTCTTTGGTTAAGGCTCGCTCCAGGGTGGGCTTGGCTCACCTTCCCTCTGGCCTTGTTCTGGGCCCTTTGGGGGCGGCCCCAGTGCCCCCTGCCTCACCAAATGTTTGCACCCCAGGATTTGCCAAGAAGACGTTCATTTCATTTGCAAAGACCTTTGGGGACAGCTTCCGGCAAGACTTGGTGGTGGGGCTGGACCTGGAAAAGCAGCAGATCCTGTTCCAGGGGGGTGAGGTAGGTGTGACCTGGGGGACATGAGAGGGCTGGTCTGTGGAAGCTTGCCACCAAAGGGTGGGCTCAAGCCAGACATCCCCCCCGAATCTCCCATGGCCTCAAAGGGCAGATGAAGGCCAGACATCCCCAACGATCCTCCCATGGCGTCAAAGGCTAGTCTCAGGCCGGATGTCACCACTGGGCCTCCCATGGCAGGCAGGGTTTCCTACCCTTTTAGCCGTCCAGGTAACCCTGGTCTGGACAGGCTAGTTCCTCTTAAGCTCTTGTTAATGGAGCATTTCCTGAACAAGGGTGAGTTTCTGGCTTACTGAGGAGGATGTAGAAGTGAGATGGGATCTTGCCCCCATGGGGCTTCCAGTCCAATGGAGATGAATTTGAATCCAATCCATTAATGCAGCCTACCTTTTCTAAAGCTCTTTGCCTGCTCCACTCACTACATCCCTCACCCCTTGGCTTCTCTTCCTTGGGAGTGACAGAGACTTGCCTAAAGTGAGTGGCAGGACTCTTCCCAGATATGAGGATGGGAAGAAATTCATGTTCTAAGAGCTGAGTTCAAATCTGGCCTCTGATGCTTCCTAGCTGGCAGGTCACTTAGCCTTTATTTGCCTCAGTTTCCTCAGCTGTAAAATGGGATAATGTCAGGACCTAGGGTAGGTATGAGGATCAGGTGAAAGAATTCACTGACATGCTCAGCACATAGTAGGTGCTATGTAACGCTTACTCCTCTATTCTCCCCCTCATCATTCCAAGTGGATTCTGCCTTTTTCATCCATCTCTTTTGTAGGCCCTTTCCTACTCTCATCTCATCCTGGCTACGGGCAGCACTGGGCCCTTCCCGGGGAAGTTTAACCAGATTTCAGACCTGCAGTCGGCCGTTGAGGCCTATGAAGTGATGGTGAAGCAGGTGAGATGTGCGGGTCCCTGGGCACTGAGGAAGGTGGGGAGGAGGGGGCCTGGCTGGGCGTGATGCTGGAGGGGAGCCTCGGAGAAGCCGGGATGTTTGGCCTAGAGGAGAGAAGAGGGTTAGGATTCCCATCTTCAAGTATCCAAGGGCCTGGTATTGGGAAGAGGGAGCAGACATTCTGCTTGGCCAAAACTAGGCAGCTGGAGATTGCAGTGAGGCCAACTTCAGCTTAGTCTAAGCAAAAAACTTGCTAATGCTCAGAGCCGTGGGAGGGAAGGGTGGGTCTGCCCTCCCTGGAGGCCTTCCAGTGGAAGCAGGCTGGTCTGGCCCTGGCATTCGAGGCCCACCTTGTCTGGTTCCCCTCTCTGACCTTGGGCTCCTCCTTGTATGTGTTATATTTAGTACCCCCTTCAGCCCGCCCCACACCCCCTTCTTATTCTTCTTACTCTCCATCTGTTGGAGATGATCGAGAGGGAATTCTTAGGTACGCGCTGCTTCGATTAGATTAGATGGTCTTTGAGTCCCTTACGCCTCTGACGTTCTGAGAGTCTGCAAACTGAAAACCGCGGGGGCGGGGTGGGGATGTTGTATCTTCTCCCCCCTCCCCCTTTTCCCTGTGTTTTTTTTTTCTTGTTTAAAACTTTAAAAACAAGACTTCCCACCCCTCTAGCAGAAGCCTCTCTGAACAGACCTATACAGTGAAGCAACACAAATCAGCACGTTGTCTGTATCTGAAAACGCATGCCTCATTCTGCCCCCACGGTCCACCACCTCTCTGCTGACAGGCACGTTTGGTCACCTCGGAGGTCACTGTTGGACGCTGCGTCGATGAGTTTTCTGAAACCTTTCAAAGTTTTCCTTCGCATTTGGTTCAGTCAGCCAGAGCTTCCCTTCAGTAGCCAGTTAACAACCCTTTGGTCCTTGGTCTGAAATAAAGCATTTTGCAGATGTGCCAGGAGCCATCTTCCTTTTGGTAATTAGCTCCCGAGGTTGCTGGATGTGGCTTCATGGGCCCTGGGTTCCAGTCCTGGTCTTTGATGCCTGCTGCATTAGAGCCGTCTTTGAAGGAAGCTGGAGATGACGAGGGAAGGCACTCCTGGCATGCGGGACAGCCAGAGCAAAGATGTGGAGATGGGAGATGAGAAACCGTGAGAAGGGCTTTCTGGAATGTAGAGAACATGAATGGGAGTGATAAAGCCTTCAGTCTGGAGCCCCCTTGTAAAGGGCTTTGAATGTACCAAGTTAACTTAATTATGCAGATAATATTAGTGATTATTGTTGTGTTTATTCAGGAGTTGCTCCCTCCCGGGCACAGCTGCAGGGGATGAGTCTCTGTGTAATTTTCCTTTCTTTTTTCTGATCAGGTCCAGAACTCCCAGCATATTGTGGTGGTGGGAGGAGGCTCAGCCGGCGTGGAGATGGCCGCAGAACTTAAAACTGATTATCCTGAGAAAGAGGTACCCGTTCTCCCTGGGCCTGGGGCAGGCAGGCGTGTTCTCCCGGGCATTTTGAGTTCGCCAGAAGGAAGGCATGAGGCCACTGAGGCTGGGGTGAGGGCTGGGAAGGAGGTGCTGTTGGGAAGAACGTTGGCAGAAGGTGGGGCCTCCAAGGTCTCTGAAGCTGCAGCAGGGGCTGGGCCGTGGGAATGCCGGCCTGGCCAGTGATGGGGCCCGCGTGCTGGCCTGGGCATGACGTGGGGTTGAGGTCAAGAGAAATCCAGCTCAGTGCTGGCCTGCTCGGCTCTGACGCCTTCTCGTCCTTCCTCATTGTTTTTTGGGGGGTGACCCTATCCCTAACATCCCTTCCCTTTAAAACAAAAAGGAAATTAAAAGCCTTGTAACAAATCCTCACATTGTCCATGTCTGGCAATGCCTCTCTCCTTCTGCATCTGGAGGCCTTCCCCTCCGCTGCTTCATCATTGACCTCTGGCCCTTGCCGTGATACCACTGCTACCATAGATGTCTTCCTGGTTCTGCCCTCCTCCTTCTGCATCCGTTCTGTTTCTCTGAAACGGCCCTGATGGCATTTCCTGAGGCCCAGGGTTATTATCCTATGACATCGTGGTTCAGCCCACGCCCCAGTGAATGGTTGTGCTCTTTGCTTTGTTAGTACGGAATACCGTACCTAATCTTGAATGTGTGGGTGCTTTTCTTCCTTTACTCTCGATAGAGTGGAGGGTGTTGGCATTAGCAGAGGGCCTGGCACTAGGTGCTTAATAGATGTCCATTCGTTGATGTTGATTGGGATGGTCTTTTTTCCTCTGTACAGGAGGAGGCTCGGAGCAGATGGCGTCTGGTGGCGCCCTGTGCCCCGGGGGAGCCCGGGGGCCTCCTGGCTGAGGGCTACTTGTTGATTCTTGCCTGCAGGTCACTCTTGTTCATTCTAAAGTCCCGCTGGCAGACCCAGAGCTCCTTCCTTCTGTTCGGCAGGAAGTGAAAGAGATTCTCCTCCAGAAAGGGGTGGAACTTCTGCTGAGTAGGTACCCTCCACTGTCTGTGCTCGAGGACCTCCAGCCCATCTCCCCTTTCTTCCCCCTTCCCCCTTCCCTTGGGTGTTTTCCCGTTCCCAGGCCTGTGAGGATGTTTCCTATCCCTGGAGTCTCCTGGGTGGACAAGTCAACTTGTCAAAATCATCAACTGATCCTCCCCTTCCAGTTTCAAAAACGGGACAAGTAGAGGCTGGGTAACCCTACCCAGGGTTGGGGATGTTTTAGAAGCCACTGAGGCACAAGCCCATCCCCCCTTTGTGGGTACTCACAGGAGGGTCTGCCACATTGTCAGACACATCTTGCAAACCTCTGTCTCCTGGCCTCTGCCTCCAGTTAGGCTGTGACTGGTATCCTGTGTTGTTTTTTTTTTTCTGCATTTTTATCATGAATAAATCCTGCTCCACTTTAGAAATTCCCCCTTGGTGGGAGATTCTCTGGGTTCAAGTCTTGGCTTCTGTCACTAACCTGTGTGACCTTGAGCAAATTTCTTAAACTTCCTGGACCCTGGGCTCTTCTTCATAAAACAAGCGTCTGCATCCAGAGGTCTTGGAGGTGTCTTCTCGCTCCACATTGATGAGGTCATTTGCATCTGCCTTGTATCTGAAACCCAGTGTCCCACCACACTTGCAGAAGTATGGTTTTGGCCAGTTGAGAGTTACTCCTTAGCAACATGATGCCCTTTTGGACAGTTTCAAGATTCCTAGGACCGTGGAAATAGAGCTGGAAGAGACGTCTGAGTCATCCAGGCCTGCCCCCTCATTTTTACAGATGAGGAAACTGAGGTGTCCAAGGAAGTGAAATGACTTTTCCAGGGTGGCACAGGTAGTAACAGAGGTGAGATCTGAACCCAGGTCCTCAGATTCTAAAGCCAGTGTTCTTTTCCCCAGACCACATTGTTCATAGAAAGCTTTCCTCTAAACCTGAAGTTTTTGACATTTTTTTTGTCATGGACTTCCCTCCCCCCTTGATTATTGAGTGAAACCTGTGGGCTCTTTCTCAGAGTAATATTTTAATTAAGTGCATGAAATTAAATACATAGGATTGTAAAGGAAATCTATTATGTTGAAATGAAATTATCAAAATTTTTTTTGAAAGAAGTTCAGGGCCCCCAAGTTAAGACCCTCTGCTCTAAGCACACGCTCTCATCCAGTGAATATATTGTTGTTATTCAGTCATTTTCCAGCCACGTCTGTGTCTTGGTGATCCCACTTGGGGTTTTCTTGGCAGAGGTACTGGAGTGGTTGGCCATTTCCTTCTCCAGCTCATTTTATAGATGAGGAAATTGAGGCAACAAAGTTAAGTGACTTGCCCAGGGTCACACAGCTAGGCTCAATTTGAACTCAGATCTTTCTGACTCCAGGCTGAGCGTTCTATCCGCCGTGCCACCTAGCTGCTCTTGTGAATGCGTCCTACCTATCAATAGATAGGTTCTACCCCCATTAGTGGATTAGTAGGACATATTCACTGGATGAGAACGGATGGCCTTGTCCACCTGCTTCTCACTGACCCATCCACCTCCCCAAGGTTTGAGATCTTAATCCTGTCCCTGTACTAAAATCCCACATGTGCCTAGGAGACCTTTGCCTTATTCCCACCAGCTTCCGTCTCCAGGATAGGTTGGGTGAGGAAGCTCCAACTTGGAGAGTCTAGGATTCTGTGATCATCTTACCTGTACTTTGAACATCGCCGGGAAGGTGTAAATGGGGTCCTCCTGTGGGGGCCTATGGTTAGCGCCATTCCTAGGGCTGCCCCACTTCCTCAGTGAGCCCAGGGAAGGCGCCTAACAAGCTGCCACTGCCTCATTCTACCCTCATGGAGATGGGGCCACATGAGAAGGAGGATTCCTTACGATTGTGGGCTTTTTAAAGGCCTCTCCTCTTGTGAGAACTCCAGTTTATAGATTTAGAGCCGAAGGGCCCCTTAGGGATAATGGAGTCCAATATCCCCATTTTATGGTTGGAGAAACTGAGGCCATGCTGTGACTGGTGTTGCTCAGTCTGTGGTGGTATGGTGAGGTGCTTTAGCGAGTGTGCTTCGGAGGTGGGGAGGGCTCAGGTTCATGGCTGTTTGCTTGATTAAATGTGGATGTCTTTTTTTTTTTTTGGTGAGCTGTCAGGGTTAAGTGACTTGCCCAGGGTCACACAGCTAGTAAGTGTTAAGTGTCTGAGGCTGGATTTGAACTCAGGTTCTCCTGACTCCAAGGCCAGAGCTCCCGTCACTGCGCCACCTAGCTGCCCCTACCTTGATGTAGTCTTCCAAACACTCTGTTGTGTGGATGCTATTACTATTATCATTATGACTCATATTAGCTATTACGGTTATTTTTATTATTCTTACCCTATGAGTAATTCCAGCCAGAGAGGACAAGCAGTCTGCCTGCTGGCGTCCCCCATTTATGTGGAGGGATTGTGGGGCACTCCTTGCCTTGTCGAGATTGCACAACTCGCTTCCCGCTGGTGGCTGCTAGCCAGAGATTCCTGGCTGGCTCACCTCTGCCAGAGCGTCTCATAAATCTTGGGCCAGGGCTCCCAAAGGAACTTTATGGAGCTTTCAACCAACTGCGTCCCTTGGCCAAGCATCCCAGGCATGTTGTTGTCTTGGGTGAGGGATTACCGGAAGAAGCGAGCCTCAGGGAAATGGAGAGGAGCCTGCCAGCTGCACTGGTTGGGGTTCTGGGAGGAGACCTGCAGGTTTCAGCTGCCTGTGTGTGTGTCCTGGCCGCCTAAAGAGCTGGTGCCATCTTGGGCCTCGCTCAGAGAGGCAGTGCCCTGAACCACTGGGGATGGGCTTGCCCTCCTCTGCCCCGGTCAAATTCCTCTGCCCCACGGGCTCTGCTCAGTCCACATGTTGGGGAGCGTGGTGATGGGCCCGGTCACATCTCCTGGACAGCAGTCAGGAGGGCGAGGGCACTGGAAACGTGCCACCAGGGGATTGTTGTGAGAGCAGCCAGCCCTTCGATCATAGGTTTGGAGCTGGAAGAGGTCTTAGTAAACAGCCTGCTACTTGTCATATATCATGTCATATCATATCATGATATTATCATATATCATCATGATGTCATCATATATCACTTCGTATTTGTCAAACATTCGACATAGCATATCCCATTTGATCCTCACAACAACCCTACCTCCCTCTCCTTCCATCCTTCCTTCTTTCTCTCCCTCCCTCCTTCCTTCCTTTCTTCCTGAAGCAGCTGCCTTCTGTGATAAATATAAGCTAAGCTGGTCAGCAGCTGACTGGCTGACTTGGCAGCTGAGGCATCATGGTCCAGTGACTTAAGCAGTGACTGGAATCAGAGGACCTGGGTTCAAATCCTGCGTAATACTGATGTTTAGTATCTGTGTGACCTTAGGCAAGTCCTTTATCCACTCTGGGCCTCAGTTTTCCTCATCTGTAGAATGGGGAGGAGAAAACGAGACGGCTTTTGAGGTTCCTTCCAGCGGTAGCTCTTTGGTTTCCTGGTAACAGCTTTTCTGTCTCTGCCCCAGGTGAGCGAGTAAGCAACCTGGAGGAGCTGCCTCTCAATGAGTGTCGTGACAGCATCCAGGTGAAGACGGACAAGGGGACTCAGCTGGCGGCCAACCTGGTGATTCTCTGCAATGGAGTTAAGATCAACTCCTCTGCCTACAGCAGCTCCCTGGGTAAGTGCAGGCCCCAGCACTGGGGGGCAAGACCGCCATCTTGTACCGTTACTAGAGGGCCTTGGGACCCACCTCCCGCCCCTCAGACACTTACTGGCCGTGTGACCCCTAAGCAAGTCACCTGGCCGCGGCATGCCTCAGTTTCCCCATCTGTCTACTGGGGACAAGAGTGACACCCACGTCCCAGGGTGGTCGTGAGGATCAAAAGAGATAATATTTGTGAACCTTAAGGTGCTCTGTGAATGCTGGCCGTCGGCATCATCCTCACCCTTCTGAGTTGTGCTCCCAGTGCAGAGCTAACAAAGTTTGCACCCACCTATAATTAGAATTATATAAAACACAGTAATTGGTTCCAACTCAATGGAGATGGGCAATGAGAATTCTAATAACGCGACTGTGGGTCATTATTCTCATTAACTGGGACCCAGCTGTGAGTAGACCAGGGGTCCTTAATCTGGGGGTTGTGACCTTATTTGTTTGTTTTATATTTTGATGACTGTTTTTCAACATAATTGGTCTCCTTTATAATCCGATGTAGTTTATTATTTTCTTAATTTTAAAAGTTGGCACCATAAGGGGTCCATCGGCGTCACCAGCCTGTAAAAGGGGTCCATGACACATGCGAGGTCAAGGATCCCCGAATGGGCCTGCACGGCCGCCGGGTCCCACGCAAGCGCCCACATTCTGTGATTCTGAGGTTAATTCTTGGGCATCTGTACGCTAAGAGAGCAGTCCCCTAGTGGAAGGCGATGGGAAAATGGTTTGGGGAGGATGAAATAATGCTTTACTGGCTTCCATGGCTCTGCTCCGTGGTCTCTGGCCTCTCTTGCCTAATAACTGATCAGTGTGTTCTGATCTTATAATCCATACCTGATTGCCAAGAAACAAGGCACAGCCAGCAGGCAACCGCATCACTGACTGTGTGACCTTGGATGAGTCCCTTCTCTGGGTCTCGGTTTCTCTTTCTGTTAAATGAAGGCTCTGATCCTATCATGATCCAAATGTAGAATGAAGTGGCCGAGTGTTCTTAAGGACCAGATCAGTTTCCTGTGATAATTGGAGAGAAATTTGACTGAGTAAGAACATGGCGGCTGAGGCTCGCTGGGGATTCCAGACTTGAGGTTTTCAGTGGTTTAGGGCATTCCTGATGGCTGCTGCAGGAGAAGGGAGGCTCAGAAGGGGCCCAGGTTTAGTAGCGGGGCCACGGAGGGTGGAATTATACCTCCCAGAGAATTCCAGACGTCTTTTGGAGCTGATCTAGTTTGCAGGTTTTTCAGGGTACTTTTAGGATCATGAGATTTAGATTTGGGAGGAATTCTTAGAAATCACCACTTTATGAGATCGGAGAATATCAAGGTCAAAGGGATCTCAGGAGGCATCTAGTCCAAGCATCAGTGAATAGGAATTGCCAGCAAGTGGTCATCCACCACTGCTGAGAGACCTCCAGGGATGGGGAACTCATTATTTCCCCAGTCAGCCCGTTCTTCTTTGGGGCAGCTCCCATGCTTTCTTCCCTTTTCTTTTGGAGATCCTATGCTCACACTGGGGGCAGCTAGGCGGTGCAGTGGATAGAGCAACAGGCCTGGAGTCAGCTAGACCTGAGTTCAAATCCAGCCTCAGACACTAAGTAGCTGTGTGACCCTGGGCAAGTCACTTTACCCTGGTTGCTTCAGTTTCCTCATCTGTAAAATGAGCTGGAGAAGAAAATGACAAACCGCTCCAGTATCTTTGCTAAGAAAACCCCAAATGGGGCCAGGGAGAGTCAGAAATGACTGAAGTGACTGGACAACAGCATGCTCACACCAGAAGGTAGGGGCCACTCCTGGGTCCAGTCCCAGTACCGATGCAGTCTGTTGGGCCTGGAGCTCACCATTGTGAGGACACTGGACCAGCCGACCCCACAGCCCCAGGCTCCAGTGATTGGCCATCCCCAGCCTCGCTAATAGCAGGGATGGCAGGCGTATGCCCCCACACGTGGCACTTCGTGTCCCTTGCCCTTTGGGGTGGGTGGTCATGTGATTTCATCAGTGTGGAGAGCTCCTGGGGAAGAACCGCCTGAGAAAAATGGCGGTTTTCCTGCAACTCAACAGATGTGGAGAGGTTTGATGACTTGCCCAAGGTCACCCAGCTGGTATTTCTCAGAGGCAGTATTTGAACCTGGGTCTTCCTTGCTCTAACTCCTTGACTCTTGTTGGCATCCTGTGAATACAGAGCATTCCTCCCCAGTGCGGGAGCCTTCCCCTAGCTTGGTGGTCATTCCCTTTGGTGCAGGTGCTGCATCCCGTGTCCAGGAGTTGTCCTCCATCTAGCTGATTTCCTTCTCTGGTCACAGTTCCCTCGGATGTCTTCCATGCTGCTTTTGCTACGTAATTTATCTTGTCACTGCTGATGTGTTCACACGTGCCTGTTCACACTGTCCATTGCCCTTTGGGGGACCCACAATTTAGAGGTTGTAGTGTCCCTTGATTCACAGCCATGTCCTTCGCTGGGAGCGTATTGTGGTTAAGAAGATGGAATTTTGTTTCAGGGAGAAGCTTGGCATTATTCAAAGTAATGGCCAGTTTCCCAAATGGCAAGTCATCCCTTTCTCTTTTTCCTTTTTAATGAATGAAGTTTACCCAAGGTATCTGTACTTCTGAACCAGCTCCACAGACTTTCCATCTAACTATAAATCATAGTCTGGAAGTAGGCATTTTTCATCCACTTAGTTTTTCCTATGTGGATAGTTAGGATGAACTCTGAGTTTTTAAGGATCTCATTCAGAAGGCTGTAGCATCCTGGGGCATGACCTTGAACTCAGGGCCTACAATCCCAAAGTCAGTGTTTTTATTTTTTCCTCCTGTGCCAGTCTGCCCCCCTTTTCATATTTATTCTATTTATATTTATACATCTAGAGGACTTCTCCATCTGTCTTCCATTTCTTTGCAGCCCTGGCTGTGTCCCCTATGATGCTGGCAAACACCCGTGTCTCCCTGTCTGATACCTCACTTGATATTAAGCATCAGAGCATCACGAAACCAACTTATCTTTTTTTTTTTTTTGCTGTTGCATCTACCAAGGATTCTTGTATGGCCTTAAAATATACATAGGAAGAGATTTGAACACTTTTTTGTACTGTGAGAGCAAATGCTTAGTTTTTTTTTTATTAATTTTTGGCAAATGAAGATCCACTTTTTCTCTCTCTCCCACCTCCCTTCCTCCACCTTCAATTGAGAAATAAAAAAAAAAATGAAATCCCTCTTATTGACATTATAGTCAAGCAGAAAAAATGCCCTCATTGGCCATGTCCCACAAAATTATGTCACTGCGCTCTGAGTCCATCAGCTATTTCAAGGGGAAAGGCAGCATATTTCATCATGATTCCTCTGCAATTGGGGTTGTTATTGTGTTGATCAGAGTTCCCAAGTCTTTATGACTGTATAAATTGTCCTCCTGGTTCTGCTCATTTCACTCTGCATCAGTTCTTACAAGTCTCCCCAGGTTTCTCGGGAACCATTCTCTTCACCATTTTTTATTATTCCATCACATTCATATGCTGTAACTCATTTGGTATCCAACTGATAAGCACTCCTTCAATTTCCCTTTCTTTGCCACCACAGAAAAGAGCCGCCATAAATATTTTTATACATATAGGACCTTTATCCTTTTTCTTTCATCTCTTTAGGGCATACGCCCAGTCGGTGGTATCACTGGGGCAGAGAGTAAGCACAGTTTAATAGCTGAAATGCTTATTTTTTTAGTTAGCAAACAGTTAGTAAAGTGAGATTGTGTATATGTCCTACCTTTCAAATCAATTACATAACTGTGAAAATGTGGTCTGTTGTGCCATGGTGTTTGTGGGAGCTGGCCTGTTCCGTCATTTCATGTCATGATCAAGGAGACCCTTAATATGAAGAATTTGTAGGGATTAGAGAGTAGGCATAGAGATGAGTAGTTATTGATATCTGCTTGCACATTTTGGGAGGTATTAATAACGTGAGTGATTTTTCCAAGTTTTTTGGTATCTTTCATTCATTTTTTTCCAGATATGTTGAGAATCAATCCCTTAGCACCCTAAAAATTGTGTCACCTCCACTCTCTGTGCATGCATGGTTTTTGTTTCTTCTGCTGGCTTTTACTTCCACATGGTACAATGGGAACTCCTATCTTAGAGTCCAAGAGTCATGTTTTCATTAATGAGAGGGAAAATTTATAGAAACTGGTACCTCTTTTCTGTTTGTGATCATGGCCCTCGTTCCACTTCCTCCATTATAACTAGTCCTAGGTTTGTCTGGCTTGGTGGGGCCTCATTCCATGCTTGACTGCTCCTAATCTTCCACTGTTCTTTACTGTAAGAGTTTATAAGTTCATTTATGTACTAAACTGGAATGGTCTTTGGCTGCTGTAACTCTCTGCGTGATTCCCCTTGGAATTGTTTTTTCAGTTCAACTTCCTTTGGAAATGGTGCTCATCTGGGTTGGTCTGTTCCTTTATCTGTTTCCCGTTTGTGTGTGTGTGTGTGTGTGTGTGTGTGTGTGTGTGTGTGTGAGAGAGAGAGAGAGAGAGAGAGAGAGAGAGAGAGAGAGAGAGAGAGAGAGATTTAAAAAGGTCAAGATGGAATTGTTTTGATTGCACATCATTTTTAGGCTCATAGGATCGTCTATATTTATTGCTGAAAGTAACCTTAGAAGCCATTTAGTACAAGCTTCTTATACATGAAATTGGCTCAGAGGTTGCAACTTGCCCGCAGTCACACAGGTGACCTTGAACTGAGGGCCTACAATCCCAAAGTCAGCGTTTTTATTTTTTCCTCCTGTGCCAGTCTGCCCCCTTTTTCATATTTATTCTTCTAATTGTCTGGGATGATCTTTGTGCTGACAAGTCAGTGACCAGACAACAGAAACAGCGGATCTGGAAATGATCTGCACGTTCGTAACTAGTCATAATTTCTTTTTTCCTGCTTCTTTTTCTAAGGAAGCGCTGATGTTGTAGGCATTAGGTCCTGGGGCGCCTGAGAGCTAGGCCCTTTTGTTTGATTCCGAATTATATTTTCTGGCATTTTTCACTCCATCAATCTTCGTTTTTGCAACGTTATAGGATATTAAAATATATCTCAATTTAATTTGGAGAGTTTTATTGAATTCTGAACACTCGTACAACCGCATTTTTGGCTGCTGTCACATTGTTGACTTATGTTGAGCATGTCACCAAAACCCTCCCCTCGAGAAGCTTACAATCTACTGGAGGAAACTGAGGCCACAGAGAGAGAGAAAATCACTTCTCTGAGGTTGCACAGGTCAGTGATTAGCAGAGCTGGCATTTGAACCCAAGACCCACCACTCCTCTGTACTCTGTGTTTATTTTTAAGGAGTTGTTTACCTTCTCCTAAGGCATTGCATATGTTTTTTTAGTTTTGTTTTGTTTCTTTTTCATTGCATATATATATATATATATATATGTATATATATATATATGTATATATATATATATACATACATATATATATATATATATATGTATATACATATATATTTTAAAAACTTTCCAACAAGATGCTCAAAAGGAGCTAGGAAAATCACCAATGGAGTTGTCATGTAATGATGACAATGATAATCCCTGCTAGCAGCAGCTTGCATTTCTGTAGTACTTTCCTCCCAACAGTCCTGTGGCAGATCAGGGCAGATGTCCTTATCCCCACTTTGGGACCCAGAGATGAAGGGATTTGTCCAGGGCTGCACACCTCACTTCCCTTCGTTCCATATAAATACCCACCAGTCAGAATAAATTGTTTTTGCAAAATCAATGCTTTTCCATGAGCCACATTTTCCACATGGGAATCAGGGTCATTTCCCAGATGTTGGCACCTTCTCTTGCTTCCTTAAGAGAGCTTCTAGGGGTAAGGGCTTTAGACGAAAAACAAGTCCATGTGAAAGAGGTTTCTCTAAGGATGAACTTTTTGGTAATGACTTTGCCAGCCTTGAATATCCATCCTCCTCTTACTCTGATGACTAGTTTAAGAGTAGTCAAGATTCAGAGTAACGATGTTTATTTTGTTCCACAGGTGATCAAATGGCTGCTAATGGCGCCTTACTAGTTAATGATCACCTCCAGGTGCAGGGATTTAATAATATCTTTGCCATTGGGGACTGTGCTAATGTGAAGGAACCCAAGATGGCATACCATGCTGGACTGCATGCCAACGTTGTTGTGACCAACATTGTCAACAGTTTGAAACAGAAGCCACTGAAGACCTACAGGCCAGGTAAAGGGTCTCTAGGGAAGAGCCCGAGACTGCCTTTTTCAGACGGTTTGGCTAGACGTGACCCAATTACAAAGGTGGTTAAACAAACCAAAATTGCTTATGAGCTCTCCATCCTTGGCAGTTTTTAAAAAATAAAATAGGTAGCCATTTGCTTGAGCTGATTACCTTTCCCAGAGGCAGGGGGCTGGTAAGATAATTGCTTGAGGCTGCTAGGAGTCAGAGCCTATGAATGTTAAATGCAACCAATTCCTCTTCCTTGTCGGCCTGTCCTAGGTGCACTGACGTTTCTGCTGTCTATGGGAAGAAATGATGGTGTGGGCCAGATTAGTGGCTTCTACATTGGACGGCTCTTGGTTAGGTTCGCCAAGAGCCGGGACCTGTTCGTCTCCACAAGCTGGAAAACTATGAGGCAGACAGCACCTTCGTAGAAAGTAAGAAGAAAAGGTAATGAAACCAATTAATCAGTGGATTTAAAAAAAAAAGAAGATAAAAAAGATGGACAGAAAACATCAGATGGACTGAGATAGCAGAAGGAAGCAGTTCCTGTCTACGCTCACAATACCTGGAATGTATCAGCAGGATTGCTTGTTAGATTGCTGGTGTCTAGCACACAAGAGGAAGCATTAGAAAAATATTTCCTAAATGGGTCATTTTTTGGGTTGGACAAAGTCATTCACTTGCTTGGTTTCAGGTGAGGGTACCCAGCCACGCATGGCTAGCCAATCCCATGGGAAGTGGGCATCCTGAAGCATCTGACTAGGGATAGAAAAGCAGACAAGTCTCAAGGCATGCCCCAGGCCTTCTGTTACTGGGGTGGGAAAGGGGGAGAGATCATGTGAAGAGGCACAGGTAGAATTCCAATGCAAGTCCTCTGACTCCAGTGGCCTTTATCACTTTTCCTCTTGTTAGGGGGAAACGAGTGAAAGAGTGGGAGTAGATGGGGTGGGTTTAGCCCCTCTCCCCTTCTTCAGGCAGACACTGTGCTGATCTGGGCATCCCTGGGGGAGATGAGGCTCATCTGCTGGACAGACTTCAGGTGAGTGGCCGTGGTGTTCATTGTTTAGCAGCCAGACTTAAGTTGTCTTTAACTTTCCATTAGTGCTAGACAAGCCAGAAACTTATTGAAATGATGAAACTTTTTGAGTCTCTACTTTTAGCTCCTCTCTCTATAATATCAGATAAATTTTAGAAGGATGAAATGTCTTAAGGTCAAATTACCAGCTAGATTAATCCATCAACAAAGGATGCTCTCTTCCCAACCTCTTAACTTTCAGATAATTAGGGAAACGGAACAGTAGTAATATACACTTTGCTACATTACTGTACTACTGCTAGTGTTTAAGACTTCCAAAGATCTGTGATTTTATCGATGTGAGTATTTTTTCCCCACACTGATTCCAACCCTTAGAATAATTTGGCAAGTTACTTTGGTAACTCCCCTTGGTGGCCAACTTTTTGGTTGAAATGCCATCTCAATTGATAGCTCAGGTGGGTCCTGGGACCCGTGTTTATCACCAGTTCCTCAAACTCAAAGTATTTCCCTTTTTGTAGGACCTTCCAGAGCTCGAATTCTGTTGGGGTAGCTTCCTGAGACTCCATGGTCAATTCCACATCTTAAAGAGATATGGGAGGAGGACTGTAATGGAGGGATGTTTAATATTAGAGAAGCACATGAGTCTGCTGGTCAGCTCAACAAAACGGTTCTTGACATGTTAAATACTTACCTTCCTCTTGATGGAGGGTGTCTGACCATACTGGTGTGGCTAAGGCTCAGCTTGATGAAATGAGCCAGCGGCAAAGGTTTGTTGGCAAATCCTGTGCTCACGTCCCCCCCGGCAGTTAGCTTTGGTTTCCTGGCTAACACTGGGATGTCATAAGCCAGGATTCTTAGCCAATGTGAGGAATGGAAAGAGCACCGGACTCGGATTGAAGGGACTTGGGATCAAACATGGACTCCTGTCTCCTAGCTCTAAATCTCATGTTACTCGTGGGCTTGGGTTATTTTCCTTTAGCAGACCCGCCGTCAACTTACTTTAAGGCATTATTATTGACCTGTGTTTTCAGGTGTGGTTTTCCATCCTTCACTTGTCTTTCAGAATCTTTTCTGTCAGGACTAGATGGGAAGAGCATTAGGAGACAGGTATTAAATTATAATTGGCTCAAACTAAAAGGAAGCTTCTTGGGTTAGACTTCTTCTGGTTGCTTCTCCTTTGCCGAAGGCATGGAGTGCCGGCCTACTCAAATTAACCTGCTTGGGCCGGTCACTTCTCAGTAATTGCCCTAACCGCTGCGCTACCCCGTGGAGGTTCAGAACCATTCTTAGAGGAGGACCCGCTTCTTGTCCCCTACTTTCCAGACCCGTAATGTGACTCTTTTCCTACCAGAACAGCTGCTTACCTGTAGCTCAAGAGTAGCAGGCTCTACCTGAGGTCCGTAGGCCCACTGAATCTTAGAGCTGCAAGAGGCCTAGGTGGTATCTGGTCCAATCCTCTCATTTTAGAGATGGGAAGATTGAGACTCAGAAGTGAAACAGCTTGTCCAAGCTGGCAGAGAAGACGGCCCTTCTACTGATTCCAAATCCAGCCCCCTCTGGGTCCCCCACTTTTTAAACCATACCCCACTCCACAGAAGGCCTGAAAAGTAGGGTGGGGAGCTTTGCTGTACCAATAGGCTTGGGAGGTGGGAGCCTAACTCTGGGTCTGGGCCGGCATTGGTCCTACACCATCGAGGGGGCAGGCTGTGCCCTTATCTCATTCCAGACATATGTCAACACAATGAAATGACTTTAATTTTGGGAAATAAAAAATCTGCTGCAATAGAATTGAGTGTCATAAGAAGGACTCTGGATATCTTTTTGCTTTTTTTTTTTTTCCTTAAAAAACAAACAAGCCTGAAGAGAAACATCATCAGAAGTTACAGAGATTATTAGGGGGAGAAAACATATTTGAGAAAAGCACCAAGTGAAAAATGTCTTTCAGATTTTTCTCTCCAACATGGAATGTAGACAACAGACAAAAACCAAAGTCATTTGTCATGCCCTCCCCTCTTGAAAAAAGAAAGAGGAACAGAAGATTTTTTTTTTAAGAATTTTGAAAGTTTTTTTTTTTTGCCTGTAAAAGTCAATGCTACAAATCTAAAACGAGGTCTGTCCTTGGAAAATAAGTTCTAAAATGACAAGAAGACACACGCGTAGCAATCCTGGGGAGGGCCCAGGATAATGTGGGACGGAGGATAGTTAAGGTGAATAGAAAATGGGGGATGGGCACTTGTCATGAGGACTGGAGTTAGTGACAGCTCGAACTGCTCCCCCCTCTTCGTGTTGGGGAGTGCTCATTCTTCAGGAAACGGGGCTGCCTCCATCTCCCACCCTTGCCCTTCCTCATTTTTTTTTTTAAATCAATGCCCAACTCTCATTCCAAGCTGAATCCTCTTCAGATCCCTGTAGAGGGAGAATACAAAGAGGGTCCGGCTGTGGGGGGTTACTTGACGTCCAGCTTGGCCATTTCCTGCACATAGACGCCAATGCTTTCGCTGTCAAAGAGCAGGAAGTAGACGTTCTTCAGGGACGAGGAGCTGGAGTCATCGAAATGGGCTGAGATGGCCTTGAGGGTCACCTGGGCCGCAGTCTGTTTGGGGAAGCAGTTTCTGCACAGAAAAGAGGGAGGAAACACAATCAGCTGGATGCTGCTGGGCTTATGGATGTAGGGGTGTGTATGTGTGTGTGGGGTGGGGTAGGGGAGGAATGTCCAAAGTGCATTGCTGGAATTCCTAGTAACTCTGATAACTCAATGCCAGAAGCTTGACTATGAGGCAATGATGCTTTTGCCTATAATGCCCAATGATGGAGCATTTTAAAATGCTGCTCTCTGCAAGAAAGGGTAAGTGGTGTCAGCAGCCTTCCCCCCACACTCCGGGCCTCAGTTTCCTCTTCTGTAAAATGAGGGCACCTGCCTAGATGGCTTCTAAGACTTTGCAGCTCAAGAGCTAAGGGTCTTATGATCCCATAGGGCAGAGAGAGGGACATTGGAAGCGTTACTACTAATAGCTTAAGACTGACAAAGTGCTCTAGTCACAACCACCCTATAATGAAGGTTGTCCAAGTATTATAATAATAATAATATCATTATTATTGTTGTTACTTTGCATTTGAGGAAACAGACAACCATAAAGGCAGAGTGACTTGCTCAATCACCCAGCCAGGCCTCTTTAATTTTATTTTATCATCAGTTCTGAATTCTCTCCCCCACCCATTCAGAAGGCAAGAAAAATAATCTACATAAAGACATCAAAACCACTTTCCATGTTAGCCATGTCCTCTTTATTCTAAGTCTGGAACATACAGGGGCCATGTTGTAGAGCTTTCTTTCCTCATCTGTGAGTTCCCTTTGCCAGTGAAATCCTAGGTCAGATCCCTAAACCTAACCTTGAGAAGCAGTGAAAGGCCAGTTATCTTCTGATGATCCTCATGGCCCAGCAGCTGCAGTCTCACACACAAAATAGGCCCTGAACTTCCTCCCCAGCCTGAGTTCTATGGAGCTCCAATTTCCATACTGCTTTGCCCAAGACAGTCCTGGGAGGTGGGGCGGTGTGTGGTGTATTCTCCCTATTTTGTAGATGAGGAAACTGAAGCTCAGAGAAGTCAATGCGGCCTGTAAGGGGTGCAGCTGGAATTCAAATCCAGATCTCTGCCCCCTTTTGGGTCCACCCAGCTGCCTTTTCCAAGCTATAAAAGCAAATATGGCTTTTTGTCAACTAGTGTGCTTCTTTCTGTAGGATTTAATGAGGACACTGAGGCAGAACCCCGGGGGACTTTGCTTACAAGCCTCCGCTTTGTCTGGGCCCAGGAACAGAGGCTTCTAAGTGGACAATCCTCTCTACTCTTCAGAGCAGGGGCCTTCTCCATAGAGAAGGGAGGGCCTTTATAAACACGGGAGGTCATTTTCTCATAAATTGCTCAGGCCTTGGTAACCTGGAAAGTAAATTAAGGACATTTCTGGAGTAGATGGGTAGAGTCAAAGGCTGTCTCTGAATGGGGTGGCTTCTTGATCCTGTGTGTCCACACCTCTGCTTAAGCTCCTCCTTCTTTCTAGCTCTGTCTCTGATTCTATCTCTGGTTCTCTGTCTCTGGGGATATTCTGGCATATTCTGACCACTACGGGCAGTTGCTACCTGGAGCTGTGACCCAATAGATGGTCAGTCGGTATTGGCTTGATATTACTTCTGTTTGGTAGAACCTTCCCTTTCTTCATCTCTAAATGACTTTCTATCCAGCTCTTAAAATGTGGGCAGTCAGTGTCAGGATTTCAGGATCACCAATCCCGGTGCCTCACGGGGATTCCAGGGCTGTGCGCCCGGACGTCTTCAGAGCTGACCCAGAGTGCTTTCTGCCTCGCTGTGGGATCCTGATCTTACTAAAGAGTGTTTTCTCTGTGACGCTTATAAATGTGCTAAGAATCACCGGGTGTCTGACGCCTGATTCTCATAGGACCAGGGGACGAATGGGGCAGTCAGGGGGATCTCTGCTGGTGCCCGAGCCTCACCTGCCGCTGGGGAAGGGTGGGAAAGCCACGGACTTGAGCTTTTTGTCTTCTGCGGCCGACAAACAGTTCTTAATGGTCTCTTCAAGCTGCTCTTCGCATTTGTCTGAGCCCCACTGGGGGATGTGACAGTGGATGACAAATTTGGCCGCCAGGCCGCTGGACTGGCTGACGATGGCTAATGCACACAAGAGGAGTGAGAAAGGGGTCCCAGTTATTGCCTGGGTCTTCATCCCAAGCCTTGGGGACTTATGAAATGAACCCGGTACCATCGGTGGGGAGGAAGCAAGACACTGGAGTTTCCAGTCCTGTCCCCTTACCCCCCCCCCGCCCCAACATATAATATCTTGGTCTGTACTTTACTGTGCATGTGTCTTCTCACCTAGCAGTAGAATGTCTCTGAGGGCAGACACTTTAACTCGTGGAGGCCCCACCAATCAATACCAAATAAAGGTTTTTAAATATGGACAATGAAACAAAGCACTTTCCTCTTTTCCTGAATCTTAAACATTACTATTTGTTATGATTTTTAAAAATGATTTGTTATAATTTTATAACCATTTTATGATTTGTTATGATTTTAACATTTTTTGATTTTTTAAGATTTTATAACATCTTATGATTTATGATTTTATGACGCTTAAGATTTCTGTATCTTAAATATTGGTTACTAAATGTTATAGTTATTATGATTCTTGTGTAATCTCAGTTTATCCTCTTTCACCACTGATTCAGTGCCCTGGGACATGGATCTGGTTGGGGTGGTCTACTGAAGCCACTGCCCTGGGGTACACTGATCCAAGTTAGTCTGGCAGACATGTCTGCCCTGCGGACTACAACACTCTATCTTACGTGCTGGTTTGACATGTTTTATTACAAACACACAGGAGTCCCTCTCTCCCCATTCATCATGGATACCTTGTGAAGATCAGAGGATTTAGAGATGAAAGGAAGCATAGGGAGCTTCTAACCCAACTCCTTTGTTTTACAGATGAGGAGCATCACCAGGAAGCCATTTACCCGTTATTACTAGACTGGATGATCTTGGAGCCAGAATTTGAACTTGGGTCTCCCAACTTAGGTCCAGCACCCTAGCTGCCTCTAATCATATTAATTTCTGTGCATGACTTAGAGCAACTTCCTCACAACCTGGAGTCACACACTCTACGTTCAGTAACTCCCAACAGCTCCCTCGATAATAAAGTCACCGCATATTGTACTGTTCCCACAGCTGGTGGAAAAGCCCTCATTCTCCATGCTGTCCCTTGGATGGAATTAATCCAGGACTGAATGGAGGATGTTAACAAGATGGGAGGGCCTGTAAGGAGTGTGTCCGCAGTCCCCTTACCCAGGTTGGTGTTGGGCACCTTCAGTATTCAGAGCCCTGCCCCAACGGCTGGCTTGGGCATTTTCAGGGTGGCTTGGGGGGTATCTGGGATTCCTGCAGAAGTGATGCTCTGCACCAGGGCCTGGCACTGCTCGAATCTATCCAGACTGCCCCTCCCAGTCAGCTCTGTTCTGCCCAGTGCTAGTCATATCAGAGCAGAAGGTGCTGGCACAGAAGTCACTACATTCATTTATGACAAAAGCAGCCTAGACCCAACTGAAAGGGACTTTAAGATCCGGGTGCTTTAAAAGCCAGAGTCTGCATCTGCTGTCAGGGTTGAGTAGAACATTACTCAAGTTAGAGTTAGAGCTTCTGGTCTTGTTCACATGAAACCACTGAGAACCTTCCAGGTGAAAGCTGGGCGTGCTAAGTCTCTAACCTCATAAAGGCATAGGCTGGAGCACAGGACGTATGGGAACAAGGATTCCCATGTCAACAAAGGTCAGGAGGCCTCTGCCATTCTGATGTGGAGGGTGTGTTGTGGATACCACTCGAAGGAGGTACCCTGAAGGGGGGCAGATAAGCATTTATATAGCACCTACTGGGTGTGAGGCACTGTGCCTTTTAAGCACTTTGCAAATATTATCTCATTTGATCCTTGCAACAGCCCTGGCAGGTAGGTGCTACTATTATACCCATTTTACAGTTGAGGAAACAGGCAAGCAGAGGTTACATGACTTGCTCAGGGTCACACAGATGGTGAGTGTCTGAGGCTGGATTTCAACTCACACCTTCCTAACTCCAGGCCCAGGGCACCGCACCTGAAGTGTTCTACACTGTCTTAGGATCTCAAAAGCTAACTTCTGAAAGAAAGGGGGAGTTTCAATTTGGATACCAAAATTTGCTTTCTAATTTCCAGTTGTCCCCCTCTCCTCTGTATTTATGTATACTGACTTTGGAGGAAGCTGGAGACTTCAGATTGAGAAGTAACCTAGTGATGCCCCATGACTTGCACCCCGTGGCATCAGGGCTAGGTCTACACAGAGGGATGATGGGTCCTGTTGGGATCCTCTCCAGTGCCATCATCTCCTCCAAGATGCTTTTGTGCCTCACCCATTCTGGATCACAAACACACATTTTACTCTCTGTTGGACAGCGTACTCCTGCCCTGCCCCCATGTCTGCATCCTCCCCTGCCCGGCATTTCTTATAGGCTTAATGTGTCTCTAGGCATGGGGTGTCACCAAGTTTGGCTAAGAAGCCAAGCTGGTCCACACCCTTAGGAAGCTTACAGTTCAGTAGGGGCTCTTCATCAAAAGAAGAAAGGGAAGCTTTTCCAGCCATTTGTGGGCGGGAGAGAGTCCAGGAGAGTATGAGATAGGCATGGACAGGTATGGTGGCACCAGCTTGCCAGCGGCCTTGAACGCCCCTCAAGAGAATCTGTACTTTGGGAGCCACTGAAGATTTTCTAGCAGAAGAGTAATGTGACCCAACCTCTCTATTCCTCTCTATTCTATATCCCTTGTATACAATAGACACTCAACAAATGTTTGTTGAATTCCATTTAACTGGATTCCATGACACGCCATTATCCTAGTTTTCCAAATATTTTGTAGCATCTTTTAGTCTGTTTCACACCTGGTTCATCTTCCTTGTGTCAGGTGCCCCAGGATTCAGTCCTTAGCCCATGGCTTCTCTCCTGACACTCCCCTCAGAGTTGATTCATTCTCGTGGTTTTCCACAGACATCACTATGCTGATGACCACTAAGTCCACACCACCAGCCCTGCCTGCAAGGGCTGCCCCTAGAGCCACAATCTCTGCACGTTCAGAGCTGAACGTGTCCATCCTTATCCCCGAACTGGTTTTCTCTCCCAGCTCCCCTGTCTCTCATGTTTGTTTGTAACTCTGGACAAGCACCTAATCTCCCCCAGCCTCAGTTTCCTCATTTGTAAAATGAAGATAACAGTACCATTTCCTACTCTGCTCAACCCTCATAGGGTCGTATTATTATCATCCCTATGATAAGTAAGATATGTCACTTTGGAAACCTTAAAAAGCCCTCCATAAATGCTCATTATTGTGATGAGGAAACTGAGGCAAAGACAGGCTAGGTGACTTGTCTAGGGTCATGAAGTTAATAAATGTCTGTGGCAGGATTCAAACTTGCTGACTTCAGGCTCTGAACTCTATCCGCTGCCCCACCAAGCTGCCCAGGTCGGTGAGGATAGCAGGGGAGGCAGACCCTGATCCAGGGAGGGTCCCAGTGACTCAGGGGAAGGCAGAGGCAGCATGCATATCAAATCTTCTGCTGGTGGTATTGGGGCAACTAGGTGGCGCAAAGGATAAAGCTCTGGCCTTGGAGTCAGGAGGACCTGAGTTCAAATCCAACCTCAGACACATAACACTTCCTAGCTGGGCAAGTCACTTAACCCCAATTACCTAAAAAAAAAATATAATATTGCTAATTGTAGACAGGGAGAATGTCTTCACTCCACGCCATACTCCACTCAGCTGCCAAAGTGATTTTCTTAAAGCACGGGTCACTTCCCTGTTCAATAAACTAGAGCCAAATATAAATTCTTCTGTTAGGCTTTTAAAGCCCTTTATCACCTGGTCCTAACCTACCTCTCCAGCCTTCTAATATGACTTCCTTCCTGACTGTTCCTTGTTCATAGAACTCCATCTCTCATGCATGCTTTTGTATTGGCTGCGCCCCTCCCCTGCGCCTGGAATGCTTTTCTTCCTTACCTCTGTATCTTGGAATACTCAGTTTCCTTCAAGGTTCAGCTCAGTTACTACCTTGTGCATGAGGCCTTCCCTGATTTCCCAGCCTCTACAGTAGTCTGTAGATACTTAGGTGCGTGTCGTCTCTCCTGGCTGGACTATAAGCCCCTTGAGGGGAGGAACTATTTCATTTCTATCTTTGTGTTCTCAGTGCCAAGCAAAACACCTGGCACATAGTAGGTACTTTATGAACGCTTGCTGATTAAATGACCATAGATAAGTGACTCAATTATTTTTTGAGTCGTGTTTCCTCATCTGTAAAATGGGGCTAACAAGACACTTGTGGTACTGACCTGATAGGGTCTTTGTTAAGGGGCTTAAAGGGGGCAATGAATGTACTTTGCATACCTTACAGTATTAATGTCATGTATTACTATAATTTAAAGAATTAAGTGACATGATCACAGCAGGACGTTAGGAAAATGGCTGAGTTGGCAGTATTCTGACATCAATCTGTATCGTGCCACTAGGTGGCGCTGCAGTGGATAGAGCACCTGCCCAGTAGTCAGGAAGACCTGAGTTCAATTCTAGCCTCAGACACCTACCAGCTGTGTGACCCTGGGCAAGTCATTTAACTTCTGTTTGACTCAATTTCCTCATCTGTAAAATGAGGATAATAATGGCACCTACCTCCCAGGGTTACTGTGAGGATCAAATGAAATATTTGTAAAGTAGTCAGCACAGTGCCAGGCACATAGTAAGCGTCATATAAAGTATTGTTTATTGTTGTTATTATTATTATTGTTGTTATTATTTCTGGCTCTGAGTCAGCACTCTTCTGCCACACATCTGACAACACAAATGTGTCAGCCCAATCCCTGAAAGGCAGTGTGATATAGTAGAAAGAATCAGGGGACTTTCCCTCTGCTCAACACTTAATAGCTTGTGGGAGGGGACCATGGACATTTCACACCTTCACTCCTCAATGTCCTTATCTGTAAAATGGCTCCAATATGCTACATACCCCAGCATAGTTGTGAGAAGAATGCTTTGTTAACAGTGTCCTAGAAATATGAGTTAAGGTTGATGAACAGAATTTAGCTTCTTATGCGGTCCTGACTATGGAAAAGAGAGTGATCACAATAACTTCGAGTTCTTCTGGGGAGAATGTGGCCAGGCACATGGGTTCTGGAGTTGGACCCCACAACCAGCATTTTGCCAGGTGGCCCCAGACCCTTCCCTTATCTGAATGCAATTCATCTGACCCACGTGACTACCTTCTAACCTGATGTGGGACTGTGCCATTAGACTGCGAGCTAGCTCCTTGAGAGCAGGAACTGGGCATTTTTGGCCTTTCTTTGTGTGGCCAGCGATTATCATAGCCTGGCATATAGTAGGTATTTGATAAATCCTTACTTACTGAGTAACAATCCCAATCAGGTGGGCCTGACCCACTAAGCGGATTAGGGCTTTGGGTTCCATAAAGACAGGTAGCCTTCAGGGCTTATTTTATAAATTAAATGCAGGCCCCTAGAAGCAGAGTCAGAAGGGAGAAACAGGCTAGGAGGGGTGACCTGCCTTGCCCAAAGTCACAGATGGAGCTAGCAGGGCTGGGGTTCAAACCTAGACCCCCAGCTCTAAATCCAGGGTTCTTTTCATCAGAATGCACTGCCTCTCATGTGACAGAGACTTTTGAGTCAACTGCGTCCCCGAAATGGAGGGAGAATCATGGGGGGCTAGGGAAGCCAAAAACGGAGATCCTCAGACAGCAGTGAGGCAAGGGGCTGCCAGTCACACCAACTGGTGACAACCCAGGCTCTGCCACATGGTCATTCCCTAACACAAAAGTGCCCTCGAGAACAGTCCACATGGATTTGGTTGAACTGAGAAGGAGAAGGATTTCTGGCATGTTGTCTCCATGCTTGGTGGGCAGGGTCCCCACCCTGGCAAATCACCCTACTGTGCACGTGTTTGGGGACTGGTCGAGTTTTTACCTTCAGCCACCTCCAAGGGTCCTTGGGATTTGCGCAGTTCCTTGACAGTCTCCAGGAATTCTTTCCCACCAGCTTTTTCCAAAGCTTTACCTACAAAGGAGAAAAGGGAAAAATCCTTTGGCTCCTTCCTGAAAACACAGTGGAAGAAGAAAGGAGAAACAAACCAACATTTCTTCCAACAACGACAGAAAACCAGCCTTGGAACTTCAGGTAGGCACACGGGAATCTCAGCCTAGCCCTGCTCATTGTGTGAAGGGTCAGCAAGCTGCAGGGGGCGAGGCAGTCTAACAGTGGGCAGTCATGGGACTGGCAGAAAAACACATGGATGGCAGTACTCTGCGTGACACATATTTATCCTGTATATATCCAGTTCTCTACACATCTCTTAGGTGATTTTTAGACTTTATATCTCCAGGACTTAGCATAGTGCCTGGTGCATTGTAGGCAATTAACAAACGTTTACTGATTTGATCGACTGGCCAAAAAGCAGGTGATACTTTATGAATGACATCTTTGTAGTTGGATTTGGAGCTGGAGGGGTCTTGGAGATGCTCGAATTCAACCCTCACACTCTACAGGGGAGGGAAATAAGACCCTGAGAGGGGACTTGCCCAAAAGTCATCAGTAACAGTTTGGAATTGGAGTCTACGCTCTCTCACTCCCAAGCCAAAGTTCATTAATGAGAGTGTTTGAGGGACTTTGGAGCAGATAAGAATTGTTAATTTAATTTAATTTAATTTTTTTTTGCTAGGCAATGGGGTTAAGTGACTTGCCCAGGGTCACATGGCTAATAAGTGTTATGTGTCTGAGGCCGGATTTGAACTCAGGTCCTCCTGAATCCAGGGCCGGTGCTCTATCCACTACATCACCTAGCTACCCCAAGAATTGTTCATTTTAGCAGGCCATTTTGTCTACACTCTACCACCAAACTAAGTTATCCCAGACAGGGGGGTCCTATTTGGAGGGGTTTAATAACGCCCTTTACTCAAGCACTTTTTCTTAGTATCAACCTTAAGTTCAGAATTCATGAATTGAATTCAGAATTCAATCAGCCTAAAATTACATTTCAGGCTCAATTCCTGTCGTTTTCAACGGACACAGACAAAAGTTGCTAGTTCTGTGACAAGCCAAGTCATTTACTCTCTAAACTCTTGTTTCTCACTGACGATCTGAGAAGGCTGGTTTAGACCAGAGTTTCTTAACCTTGACCTTCTTGGAATCACGTCGATCAGAATCAGAATAGAGTGATGGACCTGGAGTCAGGAAGACTGGACTTAAACACTTGCTAGCTGTGTGACCTTGCACCAGTCACTTCCTCTGTTTGCATCAGTTTCCTCAACTGTAAAAGAGGGATAATAAGAACACCTACCTCTCGTGGAGTTTATGAGCACTAAATAAGATAGTATTTGTATATCATTTAGCACAGTGACTATAGAAATGCTAGCTATCATCATTATGATGTTTCTAAATAATCGAAGGAAATGCTAAATTTCAATGAGAAGTTGGTGAAAATAAAGATGTATTTTTTTCCCCATTCAAGTTCATGGACCCCCTGAAATGTATCCAGGGGTGGATGATCCCTCAGCAGGTCTGTGGACCCCAGGTTAAGAATCCCTGGACCACATGCTTTCTAAAAGGCCCTTCTTGCTCTGAAACTTTTAATGCTTCTGTGCTCCATCATTAACCTGTAATAGTCCCTTATACACTGACGGTTACAATAACACCTCCTGTAGGTTGATTTAACCGTGTAAATGAACAACATGGCTGAGGCTGGCACTTCATATATTATTGTAATTTCTGCCACATTAGGAAAATTGCTTATTTTCACAACTATTAATTGATTGCCATTTCAAATTAAGCCATGATTCCGAAACAGGTTTTGCTTTTTCCAAGTGACCCCACAAGAGCTCCAGATTTGAAGTCAAGAGATCTGTGTTCGGTTCCCAGCTCCAGTGCTTCCTAGCTTAGCCCTGGTAAGCCACTTAAACTCTCTGAGTGTCAGTTTCCTCATCTGCAAGATCAGGTTAATGATACCTATACTATTTGTTGTTGTCGTTGTTAAGTTGTTTCAGTTGTGCCTGATGCTTTGTGACCCCATTTGGGGTTTTCATGGCAAAGACACTGGAGTGGTTTGCCATTTCCTTCTCCAGCCCACTTTATAGATGAGGAAACTGAGGCAAACAGGGTGAAGTGACTTGCCCAGGAACATATAGATAGTAAGTATCTGAAGCTGGATTTGAACTCAGGACTTCCTGACTCCAGATCTGGAGCTCTATCCAGTGGGCCACCATAAAATTGTGAAGAAAGCACTTTTCAAATGCTAGCACTTTAGACATGAGCGTTGAAGTAACTGGCCTATAGCTACCCAGCCAGTATGTGTCAGAGATGGGATTTGAACCCAAGTCTTCTGGACTCCAAGGCCACTGTTCCAGCCATGATTAGATACTGGCTCTCACTTTGCACATAGTAGTTGCTTAATAAATGCTTATTAAATGAACAAATGAATGAAAGATAATCATGACAATTCTTTTGATGTCCATTTCTTTTTATTCATCCTTAACTTTGTGGATTTGATACTTTAATTTAAATTAAAATTTTATTTTAGGCAGTTGAGGTTAAGTGACTTGTCCAGGGTCACACAGCTAGTAAGTGTCAAGTGTTTGGTCTGAGGCCGGATTTGAACTCAAGTCCTCCTGACTTCAGGGCCAGTGCTCTATCCACTGTACCACCTTGCTGCCCCCTGGATTTGATACATTAAATGAAATTATATGCAGAGAGTAAACATAGAGATAATTGCTGTAAATATATAAAGATAAATGCTATCTAATGGTTAGTAGTGAGCATAACAAACTGAAAGTTGTAGATACAATGTGAAGCAATTCTGGACAAAGTATCTGCCACATAATCTCTAGGTGGGGTCATTGATGCATACTATAAATGGCTAACCACAGCAGCTAGCCTTCTGAGAAGGGGACTATTTATTTCAGCAACCATTCCATGACATTAACAGGAACCTTCATTTGGTCTCCACCTGGAGACTAGAGCCTTACCTATATCTTCCTTGAGGTCTATTTCAGCTGTTGTTGGGTGGACGATGCCTTCTACTCTCATGGAGCCAATATGGCTGATGTCACTCTGTGTCAGGGACAGCTGTGGAATGAGAAATGGGAAAATATAGAAGGTATTCAACCAGAATGGAATTGGCTTGGTTAATTTCCTAGCTATTCAGTATTTAAACTTCATACTGACAGATTCGATGACTGGGGTTATAGACCAAGCTTTGGTTTTGAGTTCTTCAGGTCTTTTACTTTCTGATTGGTTACAAGCTTCACCTTGGTACCCAAGAGAGCATGACTAATGCATCTCTCATGCCAGAAAAGGGGAAAGAAAGATGCCCCTGTCCTCCCCTTTCCAAGAAAGTTTCTGTTTCCATAGAGAGCACCTTCAGGAGAACATCTATCTGAGCACCATCTTGAGTTGAGCACCCCACTGGCCAGTATTCCTGGAAGAGGAGCCATGACTTCTCTCCCTAACTCCAGTTTGGTCCTACCCCTTCTTGATCCAGATACACAGATGCTACTGGGAAAGCCCAACAGAGCCAACGGATGACTTTCCTTTACTGAACTTTAGGGCTCTTGGGTTCTGACCATGCTCCTTTCTAATACTTCATTCTTTGGGCTACACAGCTGTAAAGCTCATCTGTGTGTCTAGGAAGAAATCATTTTCTACCCTCGTTCCATAAAAGGTTGGAGTCTTGGACTCAGTAGAATTTGAGATTTGAATCCCAGCTCTCACACCTCCTAGTAGTGACCATGGGCAAGCCACTTAACCATTCCAATTGTCAGTTTCTAAATTGATTCAATATTGAAAAAGAATTCCCTGTCTCTAAGTGGTGATGATAACAATAATAGCTAATATTTATGTAGTGCCTACTCTGTGCTAGGCACTTTGTTAAGCATTTTACAATTATTATCTCATCTGGTCTTCACAAAAACCTTGTTATTATCCCTATTTTACAGGTGAGAGAACTGAGGCAGAGGCTAAGTGACTTGCCCAGGCTCATATAGTTACCAAGTGTCTAAGGCTGGATTTCAACTCAGGTCTTCCTGACTGTAAGCCTAGTGCTGTAGCCACTATGCTACCCAGCTGCTCCCAGTGATACCTGTAGTATCTACCCCAGGATAACTGTGAGGTTCAAAGAAGATAATAAATGTAAAGGGCTTTGCAAATCTTGATGTTCTCTCTCCATGCCAGTGATTACTCCTCCTCCTCCTCCTCCTCTTACTACTACTACTACTACTACTTTACTACTACCACTACTATTTGCAAAATGTAATAATAATGTCCCTCCTGCCTCACTGGGTGGTTATAGGAAAATACTTTGTAAACAGTAGCTCCTATTAAGGTGGCCTAATTCCTACTAAAGGAGAGAGCAAAGGAGCTTCCCATCAGCCTTGAAGATTCCATGTGGTCTCTCTTCCCCTTTCCTACTTTCCCTCTCCACATCTCTGAGATAGGGAGAATGGCTCTTGCCCTCATTTCCAAAGACAATAAAGAAGCTGGTGTTAGGCATGAGCCCTCAGGGCATTTAGGATGTTTTCTGCCGTATCCCCCTGCTTTGAATGGGGATTCTATTGCCTGGAAGGACGTGGAGGCATCCTGTGGTGGTGGCCCCTGGGGGGGTCACTCATTAGCTGGGTCACCTCTGACAAGTGACTCTCTGGAAATCTCTCTCCTCATCTATAAATGAGTGGGTTGGACTAGCAGATCCCCATGGCCGTCGCCCGGTCTAAATCCTTTCCAGCTTCCACATGTCGAGAGTCTGCTACCAAAGAAGTGATGAACTGCGAGTTTCTGAATGCATCTTATTTCATGCTCCAGTTGACCTGCTAGATAAACTGCCTTCTCAGCTTACATTTGTAGATATGAATTTGCATATTTGGTTGTGCAGCTTTCATGTTCCCCAAGATGATTAAAATGTATTTGTTTTCTTTTCAAAGACCAGAGGAGAGCAGACTGAATTCCTATTGAATAATTAATGTCTAACACAAGGGATATTTAATAAAACATACTTCTATTTTCTTTCTTTTCTTAAAAAAAAGACAAAAACAAAACTAATTACCTCAAGTAGTGTAAGTCTGACCTGTAGCAGACCATTTTTTATGTGTGTGTGTGTGTGTGTGTGTGTGTGTGTGTGTGTGTGTGTGGGCAAAGAAATAGAGGTGTCTGGAGATTTCCTAGGAAAGCCATGCTTCTGACTGATTTATTTACCTGCTTGATATACATTTTACTTTTGCTCATAGGCTGACCAATATGTGTGCTAGTCTTTAAAACCAAACCTAGTTTTGGCTTTTACAAGACAGAGATTGCCATAGTTTTCATTTCTAAACACGCATAATCCCAGCCTAGTCCAGCTCAGTTGTACTAACGTCTTATGAGGTGGGAAAGACCTACCTGCTGATGAATAACAGATTGTAAAAGTCCAGTTGTTTTTACAATCTCACACTAGGATTATTTTTATTACCTTCTGCCCCAGAACAAGGCTCTTGGAAGAAAGGATGGTGAATCCATCCCCAGGGCCATCTTCCGATGTCGAGTTCGAGGCGCCTTCTTTGTCGCTGTCCTTTGCTTTGGACTGTTGGCAGAAATCAGAGGGACAGACAGATGGGAAAGCAGCCCAATGGTCATTGTGCAGTCATGCCATTGATGTCAAAAAGGGGTTGGGCCTTGTGATCTCTCCATTTTGGATTGAGGCAAAGGAGGCCGAGAGAGAGAGAGAGAGAGAGAGAGAGAGAGAGAGAGAGAGAGAGAGAGAGAGAGAGAGGAGAGAAGGAGAGAAGGAGAGGGAGGGACCTTGTGGAAGTAGTTCATCGATCCCTCCCATTCCACCTCCCCATGTATTTCTTCCTCTCCCACTGCAGATCACAATAATAATGATTGTCAGGTAGCCATAGTCATAGGATTATAGGCTCTGGAGGAGGGAAGGCCTGTGAGATCATTTGAGTACTTTCCCTCCTATACACAGGGGCAAACAGCAGTGGCTGAGGCAGGCAGTCATGCATATTTCTGTCTCACAGGAGTTGGGGACAGCATGGCAGAGGGGAATCCATATTGGGCTTGGAGTCAGAAGGCCTAGGTTTTAATCTTAGCTTTGGTACATGACTTTGGGCCTGTCCTTTTGCTTCTCTGGGCCTCAGTTTCCCTATTTGTAAATTGAAAATTGAACTAGATTATGTCTAAAGTCCCTTCCAGCTCTAGAGCCTATGAATTAGGGCTGTTTTAATGGTTTAAGTCCCATTCTTTCTCAATACCTAAAGGTTGATACATTTCTTGATTCAAATCCTTGTTACCTTCTCCAACTTCAAGGTGTTAAGATGCATTAGCTTTTTAGGAAGGCTGGCCAGGCCTCCACCCTTCAACCTTTCCTCTTTGCCCACACGTGCTCTCAGTTTACCTTTTTGGATGTCCTTGGCTTGGCGGCTTTGGCTTTCTTGCCACCCTTCTTGCTCGAAGTCGATTTCCTCCCTCTCTTCTCGGGGGGAGGGGAAAGGATTGTTTCAGACTTGCCTTTGGTCCCTCGCTTTTTGGCCAGCAGCTCGGGATGAATCCGAGGCAGGACTCCCCCACTGGCGATGGTCACTCCTTTTAGCAGCTGACGGGAGAAAGCGCAGGAGAGAGCATGACAGACTTTCCCGATTCAGAATCTTTCATTAGGAGGTTTCTCATGCTCTGCTCTGTCTTTCTAAAGAGATGACAACGTAGATAATTTAAATGTCTCTATACTCCCTGAACTGTTACCGTGCTTTCTTAGTTACCAAGACATTCTGTGCCCATGACCAAAATGTGAAGCAGAGGTAAAGGAGGAAGGAGGACATGGGGATGGAACCTTAAGAGCCGGGGAGGGCTAAAGAATTCCAGATGTGAGCTCCCTGAGGGCAGAGATTGTCTTTTGCCTCTTTTTGTACTCAGGGCACTTAGCACAGTGCCGACATATAGTAGGTACTTAATAAATGTTTACTGATTGGTTGATACCTTCTGAGAAGAGCGTGATAGGAGAGCCATCTGACCCAGTGGATGGAAAGCTGAGCTCAGGTTAAGGAGACCTGGATTCCTGTTCTGCCCCTGTTACCTGCTGGCTGTGTGTGTGACTCCAAGTAAGTCAACTTCTCAGTACTCTAGGCAGCTACTAAAGATAAGTCACACTACAGCCGCTGGGGGAATTCCCCCACTGGGAGTTCCCTTTGCCAATGAAATAATGATTCTGGGCCAAACAATTGCATAAAAAAGGGAGGTTCACAGGTGAGTTTGCTGGATTAAAGACTTGAAGAAGGAAACTTCCCATTAAACACCATCTCACAGGTTTGTTGTGAAGATCAGAGGGTGGCAAATTTGTCTTCATCAAGAACAGGCCATGCCAGACTAAACTTATGTCTGTTTTTGATGGGGTGATTAAACTGGTAGATGATGGGAATGTTGTGGATACTTAGATTTTAGTAATGCTTTGGCAGGTGCCACACGCTTCAACTCCACTCAATATCAGCTGTGATTGAGTTACATAATCAATCAACCAAAGATCTAAATCAGATGTGAGGAATTCTTAGCCAACCCTACTGAATCAATCAGTCAATCAAAGGTGTAAACTATGGACAAACTGAGTCTTTCATCATTTTGGGAGCAGTGAAGGACTTGCAAGGGTCATTGAATGAAAGCAGAGGATGCTGTAAGGGAAGGCTTGTGGCTGGGGCAAGAGAATGAATCACCCCTGTGGGGTATGAGGAGGGCAGAGTGGGCTAGTGTGGAATCCCACAATCTAATAGCAGGCCAGCCTAGTGGAGGAACAGCTCTAGCCAAGCCCCAGAGAGGGAATCATTTTTACTGGAGGGGTAGGAGGAGGAGGAGGGAGTCAGACTTTGAGCCCTGAAAGACTGGAAGGTCTGGCCTCCCCATCGGCATCAGTGGCCATGTTACTGAATAGAAGTTGCTGATGGCAGCAAGAGCTGAGATACAGTGAGGAAATGCAGCTTCAAGATTCTACTGAGGCCCTGACCCTCAGAGTCCAGCAGAGAGCAATACCCACCAAAGGGACCTTCATGAGAGCTCCCCGGAGGGAGAAAAGGAGCGGTGAGTTACCTTTTTACTACCTGCGCTCTTTAAATTCAAGACCACTCTCTTCAGGAGTTCTGTATGTGTCTGTGTATCTATCTCTATATATACATATATGCTATCTCTGTCTGTACCTCCTATTTATATACATAGACATAGATAGGAAGATACATATATACACACATATAGAATCTATATGTGTCCAAACTATTAAAGCTTAAAACTATACTAAGACATTTGGGACACTGAATATATACGCATCTGTATATACATACACAGACACATAAAGGAGAATATATCTTGCACTCTTTGCGGGGGACTGATTTTGTACTAACTTGTTCTCATTATATCCCCTTAGTAAATGATTCTTTCCAAAGTTAATGAACTCTGGTTGGCTAATTTTGATAACCAGTGGGGAGCATACTCTATGGGGACTCGTGAACCTCTTTAATAGAACTAGGGTTCTACTGCATAAAACAGCAAACTAGTTTTGAATCCAGCCCATCAGGGTTACCCCTAGAACCTCGAGGGGAGAAGTAGTTAGCCATCCTCTGGGGCCCCCAGGCTACCAATGTCAGTGGAAGCTGGGAGAGTAAGCCCCAGTGTAGTGGGGCACTACAGTATCCTTGTAGAGAAGATGGAGAGATAGGGATTTGGAACTGGTTGGATGGCCAGACTCAGTGAGTTGTTGTTAATGGTTCAGTGTCATCATGGCAGGATGTCTCCAATGGAGTGCCCCAGAGGTCTGCACTGGTCTTGTGCTATTTAACATTTTTATCAATGACTTGGATAAAGGCACAGATAGCTTGTTCATCAGATTGACAGATGACACAGAACTTGGAGGGATAGCTAATATGGTGGGTGACAGAGTCAGGATCTAAAGGATTAGAGAATTAGAAATCTAATAAGATGAAATTTAATAGAGATACATGTAAACTTTTGTACTTGGGTATAAAAATTAACTGCACAAGTATAAGACTGAGGAGGTGTGGATAGACAGCAAATGTTATGAAAAAGATACTGGGGGTTTTAGAGGACCACAAGTTTAAGGTGAGCCAGCAGCCTGATGGGATAGACAAAAAAACAAAGGTTATCTTGGACTAGAGAGGTTCAGACTTCCAGGAATAGGGAGGTGACTATCCCACTGTCTTCTGTACTCATCTGACCTCATCTAGGGTACTGTGTTCAGTTCTGGGTGCTATAGTTTAATTGATAAGCTGAGTGTCCAGAGATGGGTCATCAAGATGGTGAAAGACCTAGAGTCTATGACATATGAGGACTGATTGAAGGAACTGGGAATGTTTGACTTGCAGAAGAAAAGACTGAGGGTGGATGGGGGAGATGTCAAGGGCTCCCTGACCCTTGGAGGTGTCCCCCAGCGTCCCCTCTTTGGAGATCATCAAGCATAAGCCGGACGAGCACTTCTTTTTGTAGTGGGGATTCTTTTCATGTGTGGGTTTGGAATAGACGGCCACTGGGGACCCTTCCAATGCTCACATTCTGTGATTCTATATGTAAAGCGGTTTGCAGACCTTCGAACATTATATAAATGTTGGCTGTTATAAAAATGAATTGCCTTGAAATGATCAAGGCAAAGAAACTATAGATAAACATGCAGGGCATCTCAGAAACATATAAACATTTCAAGCCAAAACATTTTATTTGTAACTAAAGAAAGCATTTATGGGAAACAGTAAAACAACAATTCTGTCATTATTAGCATATTATTGCTATGAATCAAAACTGCAGGTCACCAGAAGGTGATGGAGAGAAGCTGGCTGTGGCGTGTCACCGGGGCTGAGTTGTGCGTGAAGAAAAATGGCACCAAATGGGGCAAAGAATAAATCCACAGAATGGTGAAATAACAGGAGCTGGGTGGCTGGGGGGTGGTGGCGGTGCTGGTGCCATGAGCAGAAAGAGGGGAATTAGGGGGAGGAGCGCCAAAGGGTCTTGTTTTTGTCTTCATCAGGAAGGCTAGACGGGGGATGGAGGGGGGGGGTCCTTCTTTGTTACTGTCTCGGTTTTCAATCTAGATATGTAACTGGTGAATTTGCAGACTACAACTGATGCGCAGAATCCCTTGGTTAAGCGCAGCCGTGGCTCTCTCGAGTGTGTTCATGCTGCAGACCTACCTGGTTTAGCTCCTCATCATTAGCCACTGCCAGGAGGATGTGTCTGGGGGCGATCCGGGCCTTTTTGTTGTCTCGCGCAGCATTTCCGGCCAGTTCTAGTATCTCAGCTGAAAAGTACAGGACACAAGATCAGCAAGCGTGAGGGGCAGAGCTGCCCTCCAGGAACATAGAACCTGAGGACCATTCTCGGGCTGGCAGCAGATAGCTGAACAAAGACCGAGCTGGGGGAGGGTGCTCGGGGGAAGACTGGCCAATGAGGGAGGGCTGGGCTGCCTGCTTCTGGAGGTGTCTGACCATGTTGGGTGGATGGAGGGCTCCGCTGGTTTATCACTTTGGGGAGCGTGCGGGCAATCTAGTGCTGCTTCCAGGCCGCTAAGCATAGGGGATGAGAACGATTTTTGATTGGCTTCTCAACTAGAACGAGTGTGGAGTAAACAGCCAAAGCAAGTCTCTCTTCCTCCCCTCTCCTCTGTCTCCCCACGCCTCTTTCTTCCCACCCTCCCTCTTCCCTCCTCTCTTTCCCCCCTCTTTTCCCTCCTCTCTCCCTTCCTCCCTCTATTTCTTTTCTTTCTTCCCCCACTTTTCCTCTATTTCTCCCTCTTTCTTCTTCCTACTATCTTCTCTCTTCTCTGTCCCCTTCTCTTTCTCTTTCTCCCTCCTCTCTCCCTCTCCCTCGCTCTTCTCTGCACCTCTATCTCTCTCCCTTCTCTCCTTCTCGCTCTTCCTCCCTTCTTTCTCCTTCCTCCTTTTCCTTCCCCCTCCTCTGCCTGGCTGTGGTCTAGAAAACTGCTATTGTAAGCCTCTGGGTGGAGAAAGAGAGAAAGCCTTCTGTCAAGGAGCATTGGAGATGGACCGGACTGTGACCTTGTGAGCTCTGAAAGGTTGGGAAGGCCACTTGAAATCCATGCCAGAGTTTGTGGACATCCAAGCCTGTTCTGCCAGCACAGCCCCAAGGTCCATCCTACTGGGAGATTCTGGGTCCTACAAGCAAGGGGGCATCTCTGGCCAGCATCTATGCTGTAATTTGGAAGTTAATTTGGCAAAGGCAAATGCTTTACATAAAATCTATCCCCTAACTCTACAGCATGCTTCTCAGGCTCCTGATAATCTTTGCCATCAGATGTTGCTTCTGGAACCAGGGCTACCTACTGCCTTTCCATGAGCCCCAGCCCAGATTCCTTTTGTCAATTAATTAACGAGCATTTATTACCTGCTTACCAAGTTTTTAGTAAGCTCTGGAAACACAGAAAAGGACTTCCAGGAATTTATGTTCTAATAAGGGAATCAAAATGTATATCAATAGGTATGTACAAGATGAGTCCAGAGTACAGGAAAGGTCATCTTGGAGGACTGCCTAGAAAGGCCTCCTGGAGGAGGAGGTGCTTAAACTGAGTTAGGTCAGAGAAATTAAGAGGTAGAGGTGATGGGGAAGAGCATTGCAGGCATGGGAAACAGCCATTGGAAAAGCCCAGAGGTGGGAGACAGAGCCTTTTGTGTAAGGAGGAGAAAGGGGGACAGAATGGCTGTACTGCAGAACAAGCATGGAAGGGAGCCATCTGTTAAAGCACTGGAAATATAGGAAGGGCCATTTGTAAAGAGGAGGAAACCAAACAGAGGAGTTTACCTTTGATCCTACGCATAATAGGGAACCAGTGGAGTTTAGGGGGTAGGCAGGGGACATGGTAAAACCTACATTTCAGGAAAATCACTTTGACAGCTCTGAGGAGGATAGATTGAGGCCAGGAGAGACTTGAGGCAAAGAGGCCAAGTAGGAGGCTGTTGCAATGGTCCAGGCTGAACTAGGGCAAAGCTGCTACGTGAGCAGAGAAGAGGAGAGTAGGTGAGCAATGTTGTGGATGTGGAAAGGACAAAATTGGGCAGCTGAATGGATATGTGGGATGAGTGAGAGGAAGAAGTCAAGGAAGATGTTGAGGTTGCAAACCTGGGTGACTAAAAAGATGGGGAGGACCTTGATGGTAATTGGCAAGTTCAGAAGAAGATGGATTTGTGGGGAAAGACAGTGTGTTTTGTTTTGGACATATTAAGCTTGAGAGAAACTTATAAAGAAATTCACACTACAGTATTAGTGACAATGCATTACTCAAAGGTTTCAAGCTGGAAGGCATCTTAAAAATAAGTCAACCCCCCTCATGTTTTAGAGGAAGAAACCAAGGCCCAGAGGAGTTAGTATCATTTCCACCACTGCACAGTGTAATAGTGATGATATTGGGTACCAAAAGGGAAAATTACCAAGATAAAATGCTTTCTAAATTAAAGAGAGGAATCATCACTTGGTGAAGACCCCACCCCTCAAAACAACAACAAAAAAATAGGCAAATTAAAAAGCCCCTAAAACCAATTTAAAAAAATCAAGATTCAAGAACTTAAATAGTCTCAGATCATCATTATTAACAACGACGACAGCTAGCATTTATATACCACTGGCAGGTTTGCAAAATAATTTACATGTTAAGTCATTTGATCCTCATAACATGGAAAGTTGGTGCTTTTCTCTATTTGGCAGTTGAGGAAACTGAGGCAGACAGTGGTTAAGTGACCTTCCCAGGGTCACACAGCTGGTAAGTGTCTGAGGCCAGTTTTGAACTCAGGTATTACCAACTCCAGGTCCTGAACTCTTAGGGACTTTGCCACCTAGCTGGGAGTAACCAGAACCTGAGAGTGAAAGAAAAAGGCATCCAACTAAGAACGGGGAGTTAACATAGGAGCAAAAATGTAATGATTGAAACAGACCATCGAAACGATTAAGAAATTAAAAATAAGGACTAGGAAGCCTTGGACTCATCCTGTGCTCCTGTAGCAGGACGGGGAATCAAATGGAGGTTATCTGACTCCAAACTCAGGACTTATTGTACTGCATATGTCTCTACTGCATGCACTGGAAGTACCCTCTAACCCTTTTGGCCTCTCCCCTGGATTGGCTGGTTCCTCCCAGATGCTCCATTTCTTTTCTTTTCTTTTCTTTTTCTTTTCTTTTCTTTTCCTTTTTGGTGAGGCAATCAGCGTTAAGTGACTTGCCCAGGGTCACACAGCTAGTAAGTGTCAAGTGTCTGGGACTGGATTTGAACTTGGGTCCTCCTGGCTCAGAGGCCAGAGCTCTATCCACTGTGCCACCTAGCTGCCCCAGTTTTTTTTTTTTTTGCAATGGGGTTAAATGACTTGCCTAGGGTCACACAGCTAGTAAATGTCAAGTGTCTGGGACTGTATTTGAACTCAGGTCTTCCTGACTCCAGGGTCAGTGCTCTATCCACTGTACCACCTAGCTGCCCTAGAAGCTCCATTTGAAGAAGGATGCCCAGGCTGGCTGTGTCTCGGTGCCTCTCCAGGCCATCCTGCTGACACATCTCGACAGGGTGCTCTCTACCATGACCCCCATCTCCCCTTTCCTCCATCAGAGTCTAAGCTTCTTGAGGGTCAGGACTGTCATCCCCCCCGTATTCCTATTCCCTGCACTTAGCACTGAAGGGCTGTACCAAGTTCTCTTTTCCCTCAGGGAGATTCGTAAGCAACATGACCCGGAGCCCTTGACCATGCCAGGCCATCCTCTGGATGCTCCCAAGCTCACCAATACTGTCCCTAAAATCTGGAGGCCAGAAATAAAGACACTGCTCCATGGCTCCGTCACTGAAGCCTGAGGATGTATTAGCTCTTTGGCTGCCCTATCACCCTGATGTCTCATACTTTTATGCAGAGAAATCATCCTGTGACCTAAGTCATACCTCCATCTGCCTCTGTGTCCTCATCTGTAAAATGGGGAAATAATAGCATCTACCTCTCACAGTATATGTGAGGATCAAATGACTTGACATGTAAGAAACTTTGCATATCTTAAAGTGCTACATAAATAAGTAGGCAGCTAGATGGCTCAGTGGATAGAGTGCTGGGTCTGGGTTCAGGAGGGCCTGAGTTCAAACCTGGCCTCAGACACTTACTAGCTGTGTGACTGGCCAAGTCACTTAACCTTGTTTTCCTCAGTTTCCTCATCTGTAAAAGGAAATGGCAAACCACTCCAGTATCCTTGCTGAGAAAACCCCAAATGGGGTCACAGAGTCAAACACAACCCATCATTATTGTTGTTATTAATGATGATATGAAACTAAGTTCTCGGATCTTGATTTTTCATTGATTTTGCTTAAAATGGAAGTAATCACTCATGTTTGTCTGTTCAGAAGGATTCAATAACTACTTTCTATCATTCCAGCTAAGTTTGCCACACAGTATATTGGCCACGGGATAATCAAATATTTTTTCCCCCAGAGAAATTCCTGGGACCTTCCACTAAATTGATAGGATCATAGATCCAGAGCAAGATGCTTAGCACAGTGCCAGGCACACAGTAGATGCTTAATAAATGCTTATTGACCGACTGATGGAAGAGCCCTTGGAGATCAGCTAGTCTGACTCCTTCATTTAGTAGATGAGGAAATAGGTCCAGAGGAGTTCACCTTGCCCAAGGTCATCCTGCTTGTAAGTAGCTGAGCCAGAATTTGAACTCATGGATGGAGATCATGTTTTATCCTGAGTCCTCTGGAACTGTGGTTGATCATTTCATTGATCAGATTTCCTAACTCTTTCAAAGTCGATCATCATACAATACTGCTATTGCCGTATATATTGTTCTCCTGGTTCTGCTCACTTCACTTTGCATCATTTCATACAAGTCTTCCCAGGTTTCTCTGAAATGGTCCCCTTAGTTCATTTCTTACAGCACAATAGTATTTCATAGCATCCACATGGCATAACATACCACCCACCATCTTATAGAGAAGTAATGGACTCAGAGTACAGATTGAGATGTGTAGGTATACATACACACATGCACATGTATGTGCATACATGGCCAGTGAGGGAATTTGTTTAGCTTCACTCTTCATGTTTATAGCAAGGATTTTGTTTTTCTTGCTTTCTTAACTAGGGGGTGGAATGGATGGGAGAGAATGCAGATAGAGAAATAAAATAAGATTGAATATTAAGAAAAGATAATGGAGAGGAGATTGGAAGAGCCTAGAGGTAGGGAAATAATTTAGGAGGGTATTACAATAGTCCGGACAGGCCAAATTGTCTTTCCTTCTTTTCTTTCTTCCTCTTT